TTTGCGCCAACTTTGGAAATAATGCTTTATTATAAAAAACGCGTTCGGATGAAACATTACTTATTATTTTGGAGCATGGCATTACATGTAAATCCGGATCATAAAATAAGGCACCGCATTATATATGTACCAATTTCCACTAATAAGAAATCAAGAGAGCAAAGACCCTTTTGCCTGTGATAGTGGCCTGAGATAAGTATCAATCAGGATTAAGAAACTTTACTATATGTTTCGTACACATAGCAATATAACCAATCGAAAACGTATAACATATTTATGGCATAAAATATCCGAATCACAAACATACGAAGTCACAGGTCGACTATTTCTATTATCGAACAGAATGGCAGCACACACGATTACACGTTTCTATAATAGTATAAAAAGGTTAGTTTCTGTAATAATAGAATACAAAGGGTCGTCTGTCTTTCTCAACTTCGTATTAAACTTACACTCCGGGCGCGTTCAAAACATGTCTATATAACATCATTGCGTATGATACACAAAATCGGTATAATAATTGCTAAAATTCTTTCATTTACGTGTCTGACTAACGGAATCTCGCACGATCTTTTTTTTTGCTATAAATTGTAGTGCTGGAGTGATAGTTCTAACGGCATTATGAAGAATTTAAGACTACTTTTTTATAATGCTATTAGGAAGTTCACTTGCGCAAAACAATTGTTTTAATTTATTATTAAAAATGTCCACTGGATGGTAGGAGTCTTTGTTTACCCATTAGTAAAATTTAATACATTTTGGCCACACTATTTCTTTGAATTCTCATACTGATAAGCTATAATCTTTACTATTAAAGAACTATTGTAAAAACAAGATCCTGGGTAAGTTAGTAGACTAATCAGCTGTCAAATGGCTTTTAAAATGTTATTTAAGTTACCAAAGGGATGCATAAGCTCTTTGAATTAATCAGAATGAACTGGGTGGATGAGTATGAGAAGTCAACTTCTACGATGATCAGTGTTTCAGTAACCGGGGGTAAGTCATGTGTAAAATCTCTGTTCAAGCAAAAGTTAATATTATTAAAATGATATTTATATGTTTTATTCTATATTTAGTTTGATGAAAACTATTAAATGGTATATTATCGATTAAAAATATTTTTATATATAAATTCTGCATTTGAAAACATACAAAACTATGAAAGTGACTATTCCCTTAAAACTATTGTATAACAGTTGTTTATTGCTTTATGGTTTCTTATACAAAAAGAAACAATTGTATGCATATTCATCTACAAGCATTATTATTTACCCATAAAACTTATTTTTACTTTAGAATTATCTTACTACTTCGTATATAGTACTGACTTAAAAATAATCTAAATTGCTTTCATATGTAAAACTTTGTGGATACAGTACAAAACCGCAGTTGTCCAATTGCATCTTCCTGGTGCTTAGGTTAGTTACGTATTTCGCTACTCTCTATATACGGTGATCTAGATTAGTTAATCAATCAGATAACCGATTCTGATGGAAAACCATTTCAAAAACTTGATCTTTAGCACAATCTAAAGAAAATAGTAATTTAAATATAAACTGCGTAAAAATGTTATATTAAAAATATTACATACATTATATGCTATAAGCACATATAATGTTTATTATGGTGATAAATCTTATATTCCATAAATATCTTGTACCCTTCAAGCGAAAAAATAGGTGATAATGAATTACTTCACTACATACACTAAATTTTAAAGTATGAAAAAGCTTTTGCATGCAAATAGTTATAAATAGAAAACTTGGCATTAAAATTGCTGACAAAATCATTGTATTCTGTACATGACTAATTATTAAGTGCATCACAATCCCATAATAGTACCTCTAATAAGTTTGTCCATGATCTTGCATACCTCAAAGACGTCATTAAGACTGTTACAACATAAAGATTTATGGAAGCCTGTCTCATATTCTTTTTTAAAAATCAATGCAAACAAAGAAAAAACAATAAACACCTAACACAATGCAGATATATGAATATTAATGACTAACAAAATACTCACAAAAATATTGAACATAATAAATACATTTATACACTATATAAATGGATTGCATTATGTATAAAATTAAAAATGAGATTAAGACTGGCACATTAAACCTTCTCAACAGTTCAAACTGAGATCATTATGAAATAGAACTAAACATCGTTTGGCTTAAGTTTAACAATAATTTCATAGTGTTACTACAAATGTTTATTGATCTAGACTTCGAATAAGGCAAATACTAATTTTAAATCTATAATTTTCGATGTTACCAACTTAGAATTAAATTACACACGAGAAGAGAATAGTTATGCAAATTAACTAGAATAACTTACAGCCGCTCTCAGATATCAACTAGAGATTCACGGCCAGTTTCTGATGAAATGGCATTTCAAATGTCATTTGAAGGAGTTAAATTCTTTGAATTGATTATATTGATCTTAATGATAAGAATGATCAATGCAAAGACTAACCATCTATTTCGTAATTCAAATGACATTTGTAAAATTTTCCATGCCATTTGACAGCTGATTAGTTAATTTCTATGATGATCAGTGTTTCCGAAAACGGGCGTCAGTATAGTTAAATATGTTTGTTTGTCAAATTGATTAATGGTTTTTATATATTTAAAACCGACCATCAGAAATTAACAAAATTATTGCCACTGAAACTATAGCTGATATATCTGAGTGTAGCTATTACCTTTTACCTTCCTTAAGGACTATACTTTACATTCAATCTAAATGTGGACATTTCACATGCAAATGATGTTGAAAAGCCAATATTATAGGTATTAATGAATGAATTAGCACTAATAGAAAGATAAGATACAAAATTCTATAAATAGTTATTGCAATCTAATTTTAGGTAGGTACCTAAAATATATTTATGATGTGAAAAATATTTTCAAAAAGGGAAGAAGAAATCGGTGAAAGTATATAAAAAAACATAGTCGAATATAGTACAACTTTCTATTTTGAAGTCTGTATAAATATTAAATGGAAGTTTCTAATGTGAAATTGATAAGATCGGTTTAAGCTTATTACTTATTTTGATAAATAAAAATCTTACATAGATGTGGATAAGCTATCCTATATTTTATTTAAATTGTTTAACTATTAGTTATGGATAACCATATAAATAACTGCCATTTATTTTCATGCATTGTCTCAAAAAATAAATGAGTTCTAAAATACTTACATTTGATCATAAATACAGCACTAACCTTACATGCTATCATTATGGTAGTAATATTTAGAAAAATATAGAACAGGGCAATTTAATATCAGATTGACAATTATGTTGCAATTTATTACACTACCCAAAAGTGTCCTGACTAATCATTATTTAAACCTAGTATTCTTTCCTTGGTGTCAGTCTAAAATTATGTAGTAGGCAATATGGGTACTTAGTAGTAATCATTACTAGTCATTATTTAATACGAATGGAGTTAAATAAATTAAATAGTAATATAACAAAGGACTAAATAATCCTTCAACATTTTGCTTTTATTATATTACTTATTTCAATGAAAAAATTAAATTAAAAATATTCTTAAATGTTGCATTTCTAACAAATCTTAAAAGCAAATTTGTATGTGTTTATCTTAAAGTCCATATAAAGTTGTATATTTTAAATGAGGCTTCCATCTTTAAAGGCGAATGTTTTTTAGAGGCATCTGATGGCTATATTCTTTTAATTACTATTCCTTATTAAAAATAGTTTCATGAAAAAAAACATCTAGCAGTAGCTACATATTATCAACATTGTAACAAGACCATTTCAAAAATAATTTCTAAAAATATTACTCACTATTTAACTACTAATTATATCGCTTTTACTGTCTTTTATTCCCAACATATAAAAAGCCTTCAATTTGTGTGACAATGTAAGGTGACATTCAGTAAACATCATAAATATTGCATTCTACTGAGAACATTTTATTGGTGTTTCAGTTCCATGTTAGAATTAAAATTCACATATTACGATTGGTCGTCAAAAATCGTGCGGCGTGGCTTATTTACCTTAGAGTATCTTCGAAGGCAATCTCTGATACAGGTTTTGTGACTATGGGTTTCGATGTAAACCGCTGGCAGAGTAAATCGTTGGTGTCGCAGCGATAGGCGGATACCCGGTGACAGAGCTGTGTAGCTAACAAATGTATAATAATTCTAACCATCATCTATATCACTAGTAATTGATACAAAAGAGTGTGATATATATATATATATCACCAACATCAAAAACTATGTATATATATTTATCGCAACTCTGCCCGGTGCGACAGTTATTACGATATTCGCGCGACATCCACGTTAGTTATTCACAGCTCAAAAATGACAATTAAAACACTCCGAACATGTGAATGAAACTATCATAGACTTCATTAAGTCATAACAAAAAAAAAAGACGAGGAATATGTTAAGACATCCTACTTTAAAAATTTAAGTAATGTTTATTTATTTATACCCGATCGCGGCGCCACCTGGATTTTACTCCAACAGAAGAGTGAGTTACCCCACAACTGGAATACTGGAGAGTTACAAGACCTGCATCTAACACCGTGGTTCCGATGGTTTTGATGATTCGTAAAGTGAAAAGACTGTAGTTTTTAAACATGACAGAAAATAACCACATTATTGATACCGTCATAGTCATGGAATGCAACATTGTAGTGGGTAAGCAACCTTTAAGCACGACCCAGACGATTGCGCAAAGCGTATCAATTCCTCGTTCAAAAATTGGAAACATCGCCAATGCGATACATAAGCATACCTTAATCGGATTTTTAAGAAACAATTCAGCATTCACAAAAATATCAAACATAACTAAACACACAACAGCAACAGGAGTTCATTGTGACCGGCGAAATCAAAGGCATTGAGCCTGTTTGAAATATCTACTTGGTTGATTCGGTCACTTGTTCATTTTTGACAGTCTCTGCGACCTCAGAGGATTCTGGGGGCTTTTTGGCCTGTGAAGGCGGAGGCCACTTCTAGGATATCTGAGAAGTGTCTGATGTCAGGATGTTTTGCCGGTACACATTGAGCAGTTTGGCCACCAAATTTGATAGGTTACCATTCAAATTATTCTGAAAACAAAAGATATAACTTAGTCTTTTCTTGTGTTAAAATCACTTTCCCAATAATAAAAATAAGTAATTGTTATTATTTCTTCTTTGGCACAACAACAACTTAAACAATATGTTCTAAGCTGGTGGCTAACAAAGAGTGCTTCGTAACTATTAAACTTTATGGTAGTGATTAGGATCTAAAAATGGGACCATTCATAGCATTTATCCTGAGAAAAAAATCTGGATGTTCTATCTCATAGAATTGCAATCGCCACTTACCCTATTAATGTCATCCTGGATTCCCGTCATCAAACTGGAGTTAATTGTTGGGCTCAGCTGGTCCAATAGCCACTGTAAAGAAAAGCGATGCCATCTATTAGATCTTCGTTTGCGTCATCACACTTTTATGCGTAATATTTCAATCGGCGTCATCACCTTTTGCCTCTCCGCATTAACATTTGGTGTTGTGTTCAACCCGCTGCCCGCCATTTTTGCTTGATACTAAAATTTAATAAACATATTTATAATACGGAAAATAATAAAAAATAGCATGGGCAATTCTATTAAGTGGCTGATATACAATGTTGGTCGTATTTAAGCTTAAGAACGCACTTAAACAGTTCTCTTTAATTATTCATTAACATCATATCAGCCAAAAGGTATATGGAGCGAAAGGATAAATATGTGTACTGAGGGACCTAAACACCGCTGCAATCGAAACAAACTTCAAGGTCGACATCAGAGTAAAAACAAAAGAACGACCTAAGCATGGAGGTAGTAAAAGAAGAAATAGCCACAACCCAGATGGGATCTTTATAACGACGATCTAAGAGCCAATGTATAGGAGAACTCAAACTCTCAAGGAAAGAGCTATAACATATCGAATTTCACGCAATAAATTTACAAGACCAATGCTAAGCCTCATGGCTCAAAATTCCGTATCCCATTTTAACCCATAATTAATTTTCGAATCTAACGACAACTATCACAGATACTGGCGGAATCCTCAAGTGGCCAGTGAAGACCATTGTTTAACAGTTAAAGGGAATACGGTGGAGTTTTAAGTCAATCTCGACGTTGAGTACATCACGGTTGAAAAAATTTCCGTGTATCTATACATGGAAGATGGGTGAAGGTGAAGGACGGATAGACATTTTTTAGAAGAAGCTTTGAGAAGCGGTATTTTATTAAAATGTACGTTAATGTACGATAAATTTCTATCTTCACTGATGGTTAACGAATGACGCTATCATTAGCTTTTTATTAAACTTTTATTAATATTGCAAACGTAATAATAGACTAAAGTAATAATAATAATATCTTAAATTCCTTTTAAAAAAACGTTGCCCTTACTTTATAGGATAACATTATCCTGTGTTGTAAGGACGTTTAACAAAGATAAATTTAACGCTGGCAAACATCCAGATGCGAAACAACTATCTGTGGGTCACACAAACAGTTGTCCTGTGTGGGAATCGAACCCACGACCCCCGACGCCGAAGCCAACGATGCACCATAAAAATAATAGAATTGGTCATAAATGTAATCAAACTAACAGAGTGTGATTAATAATGAGACATTTTTGACTATAGTCTCGAGATTTTGTGAAAATCCTTTGATCAAAAATTTATGTAATGAATTAAAATTGTTATAAAAAGTCAAATAGCCTACAACACAAGAAACACATATATGTATGTATATCCAATACCATTTTGGAGTTATTACACTATATACCTACAATCTTCTAAAATAATAACTCGTTTTTAAATAAAACCGAAAATAAAGTTATGAATGCTGTATAAAACTTTAAAATCTATGAAAACATTAGCTGAGCCGGCAAACGTTGTTTTGCAACATAATTTGTAGGGTAAAAAATATTTGGGGTGGACCTCCCTTAATATTTATATAGATGTTTTCCGATTCTCCACCCTGGCCGATATGCACACAAAATTTCACGAAAATCAGTCGAGCCGGGTCGGAGGTTTCGGAGGAGTTCAATTACAAACACCGTGACACGAGAATTTTATATATTAGATTATAGGCGCTAGTGTTTTCTTGTATTTTATATCGTACAAGGAATTTGCGTCCGTCCGTAAGCGTAGCACGAAGTTTCCCACGGGAACTATGCATTTTCCAGAACAAAGTTACAGGGATCCCACAACCAAAAGGACAACTATAAACTAGACTTTATTAAAGTATTAAGCTATTGCAGCATGGAAATATTTTTACATGAACATATAACATTCTAGACGCAATCTAAAGGATACATGCATTTCCCCGTGATAAAGTATCTCGTGTTTACCATATATCATATTTGACAAGTGTCCGTTCCGTCAAGAGTAATCCTTCGGAACTAAGCTACGGGAAACGCATTTCTTGGAACATAAATGTATGCATTTCAAAAACTTAAAACCACTCTGCACTATATTTGACCATAAAGTTATTTTAGGAAAGAGATGTATACAATATACATTTACCCTTTGTGTCCAGCAGCAACTGTGCGGTTTTCCGGGATTTAAAGTAGCCCATAAACTATCAATATGCGAAAAATCATCACGATCCGATGCTCCGTTGCTGCGTGAAAGAAGGACAAACCAACAAACCAACAAACACACATTTATAAAGTAGGGGGAATATAATTTCTTTATAAATAACATGTAACGCCATTATTTTGACTCATGTGCGTAATAATTACTTTCTAGGACTAAACTTTCCGAGGGATCGTAAATGTTTAAAAACTAGTGTCACATTCTGTACATGCTTCTTAACCCTAGTGTGTAACATATGCAATACATGGTTATTGATTTTTATGGCTCATTGGATTTTTCCTTGCAATGGCCTTGCGCCCCAGGGTGTGGCAGTTAAATGCTTCTGGAGTAATCGAACGAGTTGAGTGTTCGTGTTTGGGTGGGGGAGGGGGGGCCGGCACACGAAACTCTTGCAAACTGCTCACCGTTGGTCTAATTAAAGTCCTCAACGTTGTGCTAAGCCTATCGCGCTTATTTGCCAGTATTTCCATGTTTTGGCGCACCTCCATCTTTGCCTTTTTCTCCTTCTCGTATTTATCCTTGATTATCTTCTCTCTGAAACGCATAAAGTACACAGTGAGGATATAATACAACACATACATCAAGTAGTGACGCTATTGCGGGCAAAGTCTATTCATGCAGAACAATAACTTCGTGATGCAATCGTAGCAATGAAATAGTAATTGATTGAGTTAATAAATAAGGTATGTTTCTTCGCGGCGCACATAGTCAAATTGAAATCTGTATCGATTTCACGACTATGTTGCCGCTGCGAGCAGTGGCTTTTGCGAAGATTGCGAACGCAATGGCAATCACAGTGAAAGGTTCAAAATCGTGTGCTCGTATTAATTTTTGAATAAATTAAACATGGCCACGTCCAAGCAAAATATACCAAGATGCTTATGGTTCATTGTGAAAAAATTGCTTAGCATAAATAAAGTAAATATCAAATCCATTTTCACCAATGTGTTTCAGTAATAAGTAGTTGATGTTAACAAACTCTGGCGTGTGGCAAAATAAGAATGAAACAATTTTCACATACTTCAAATTACCTTAAAGATCTTATGTAACTATAACTTATTAAAATGTAAACGGAAAACATGATCAGTTAAAATATGATCATTAAAACTCAAATATAACAACAGCAATTCAGGATAAGTTAATTTCAAATTAAGGATAGCCTAAATTAAGGATAAGCCATACGGTATCATCATCAGTACTTAAACAAAAAATATTAGTCATTAGGGGAATACGCTCAGCTGAAAGGGAAGAATTCACAAAAGTATTTCACCACTATATTAATATATATAATTAACCAACCAAGCGACGTTTATACAATTCAATACCCTTAACCAAGGAGTTAACTAACGTTACTCAAGAGAACATTGGCGAAATGGTCATGGTCGAACAAAACGAACGTGTTTAAAGACGAACTCCTACTTACGTACTCGCAGACTCGTTAATACACAGGCGTTATTAAATCATACTACATGTACATATTTTAAACGGATTAAATAAGATAGGAATATCATTAAAGCGAGATGCAAAATGTCCAACCTGAACTTAACACATTCACAATTCCTGCATCTTTTTGGCAAGCGATCTGGGTCGAAGTCGTGGCCCCCCGGCGAACTGCAGACTGCTGAAGAAACCAACACAATGCTGTAGTAAATCGCTCAGCCTCCGTGCAACAGACATCGCGTGCGTAGAACGTAGAGCCAATGTGACCATCATCTCGCAGTGAATGAAATGTACACACATCACGCGAGCTCCATTCCCGGAACAAAAATCGAATATCGTTGCGTCTTATCGACTCAAAGAAATCGCAGCGGCAATTTGACAAGGTAAATAATAATCATAGCATATAATTACATGACAAAATAATTGTTTTAAATGATAAATAACTGTGTACATATAATTAAGTATGTATGTATATAGTAGTATACTGTGTACTATAATACAAATGCTAAGGCAACGCTAATGTCACTGTTTCATGTTGAAAAGTGCTATTATTGCTCAATTATACTTCTTCATTTCACTTATAAACGTATTTCAGTACAGTTCCCGACGATTAAATGATGAACAGGATGGAGCTTCGTCAATTATACACCTATTCAATTCGCGTCATATAGTTCATATTGTTTCTAATCAATGGAAAATTTCAACATATATAGAAAAAGAGTTACAATTTATTCAATAGCTCTTTCGATGCGATAGAAATTTATAGCATCTTTTAGTTCATTCAAACATTCATTCAGTTCATTCCAACTTCATTGTCGTGAAAAAGGGTATGTAGGGGTAAATCTTATATATAAAAATGGATTGCTGTTCGTTAGTCTCGCTAAAACTCGAGAACGGCTGGACCGATTTGGCTAATTTTGGTTTTGAAATATTTGTGGCAGTTCAGGGAAGGTTTCAACGATGAGAAATTATAGAAAATTTGCATGGAAAATCGAAATAGCAACAATTTTATTTTCCCATACAAACTGTTCATACCTGTCAAACATTTTATGCGTGCGTTCCGAAAATTCTTTTTCAATAAATAATTTATATGGCAAAACAACGTTTGCCGAGTCGGTTAGTTTAATATATTTATTAAATGTAGTCAAATATCTTCGAGCTTGTTCATATCTGTTATATAAAGAGTGATAAGCTCAAAATCCATATAAAACCAATCTATTTATCGAATACCGGGCCACGAATAATTTGGGCCATGGCCGATATTCTCGGCGATTATAGGCCGATAACGAGACGGAGAACAGCGCGATTTTTAGCCGAGAATTACTGGGACCTAGACCGGTCTAGATCTCGGTCAGACCTTACGAGAGGGTTCTTAATACAAATGCGTAATTAAATGATACCTACAATTCTCAATATTGGCCCACTCTCGCTTCAAGGGTGACGTATTTGTGCCGGCGGTGGACAAAGCAGCTCTAAGGTCGTCCGGAAATGTTCTAGTATCCATTTTGCTGGCGGCTATACAACTAATGACTGGTGTCTGCTTTTCGATACTAAAAAGATTAATAAAGAAGTTAAAACGCCGTCAATATACTTTTATACTAGAAGACACAATTATTTGTCTAAATACTTGCCTGACAGGAAGAGGCGGAGGAGGGTTATTAAACATTGTTTGTATATCTGACGGTGCTTCTGAAAACATTTTGTTTTAGTAAGTTATAATATTATTAAAAACAATGTAGTAAGCAAATGAAACCCACCTTCGGGAGGTGGCGGAGGCGGAGGCAATATATTGACTTTTTTGTGATGCGCCAACGCGTGGGGAGGCAATTCGCCAGTTCTATAAAACCGTTGCTCTTCAAACACCGTCGCGTGAACATATTTGCAGTTCGGGAGCGTGCAAACGGAATTCTGAAAGTTCCTGCAAAACGTGTAGATGCCGACCAGCTGCGAGACGTCGCACTGGTGTCTGAATTTGCACGTCCCCGGACGAATGCACTTGCCGCGTATGAAGTCTCGGCACATGGGCCTCGATTTCTCCGCTTCGTCGACGCCGTTCGTTTTCGAACGGTCTATCGTCGATTCCGAATGGTTCATTGTATCCGATGATGGCTCCTCGCCGGGACTGTTGTACTCGATGTCCTCGACCTCCTCTTTCAAAGTCAAACTCATGTTAGGCGGCTTGTCGGGCGGCGGCGGATCTAGCGGCAACGGCGGCTGCACCTCCGGCTTCAAAGCATCCTGTTTGCTACTGTTAGGCGTTGAGGGAGGCTCCGGCGTAGTAGCGGTCGGCGTGGTCGCGGTAGGCGTCGCGCGATTCGTGGTCTCGTTGTGTTCTATTTTCGATATAATGAACTTTTTCATTTTATTCGAATTGAATGTCGGTTTATTGGTGAAATCTTCCACGCCGGCTCTTTTACACTTGCTTGAATCTGGAACGAGAAAAACGTTAATCTATGATAGAAGATTGACTCCCTTTTGTAGTTCACTTACAGTTTATTTAGCGACCTGTACACTCAGTGATAGGCCGACGTGGTTAGCCACAAACTGACATTTGAATTGCCACTCTAAGCCGATTATACTATGTTATATAATAACGTTTATACTCTAATTGAACGTAATATTCTAAATGTAAATCCGACCGCGAAGTTCATACAGAAAAATAAAGAAGAGCCGGGTTCTGTCTTTGCGCCAATTGTCATGCGCGGAGCGTTATAGGCCAAAACGGCGTTAGGTAAGTGGGCGGTGGCAGCGAGTACCTACTAAATATTATAAACGAAGTGTTTCTAACTTTGTCCTTCCTTTACGTAGCAATATCGGTTTATCAGTTTTGCATTAGAAATAGCTTATGCATGCGTAGCTACGTTGGCAAAATAAATTGACTTTTTATTTAGAAAAAAAAACCCATGACGTATAATGGTGGAACAAAGAAAAAACTGTCACGTAGATAGTTCTTTGTCACTAGCCATTTTTTTATGATTTCCCCAAGACCATAAATATGATAAAAGATAGTTTAAAAATTATTGAGATAAACATGCTGTGTTACATCTGGAAATTAAACTTTTTAATTGTGTTACGGCGATTTTCGAAATATGCTTGGAAAGCAATACCATATTGTTGAACTTATAAACGGTTTTATTCTATATAAAGAAGATTCTACAAAGACCTTTGACCAGAATTTTCATACCATCTTTTCGACCTTGCGGAAAGACCAATTCTTATGGTTGTAGACCGTAAGGTCTTAATAGCCCGGAACATTAATAGGCGAAAGCAAACTACCCTGACTCAAGAGCGTACCGTACACTTACGGATAATGATACGTTATATTGTGTTGAATTATTCCAACAAGTTAAAAAATGCTCATAGTTTACAAAGTGTTGCAAACTTAACATAAGCAGAAGCTATTAACTACATATCTTTTTGCTGGTAAATTTCTACTTAAAGACAATACTAGTAAAACTCATCTCGTAAGTTGTCTTGGTCTATCTATTCCAATACGCTAGCTGCCAATGCGTATATTTTAACGCCAGCGTTTATCAGTTGTGGAGATTAATATTTTGGGTATAGTATATGGTTCTTAAATATTTTGAAACGATAAAGAAACATAACCGAAATTAGAATTACATGTATAAATCAATGTCCGTAATATTTTAATATATGTATATAGGGTAGTGTTGATGATTTTTGTGTTTAATGTTGTATTCATAAAGTAGAAATCGGCATTTGTGATATATCTGTGTGTCTTCTAACCAAGTGAAAACATAAATTTTAAACTTAAAATATTAGCCTATAATGAATATTGTACGCAAAGTAATGGCGGATTTCAATTGTATGAAATATAATTTTACTAATTTTTTTTTCGTAATCTAGAGGTTTGCATGTGTTTTAAATATTATATTTTGATATTATTAACATTTCTCTGTCGTTTTTAAATTTTTTCAAGCTTAAAAAATCATTATGGTATATGGCTGGTCCATCCGGAGAAGTACCATGACCTCACAAAAGACCGGCGTGAAGAAGTGTTAAATTTCTGCATTGTCTGGTGAGCGGGATAACCGGAGCTAACTTGATTAAAAAGTGGCAACGCATCTACAGGGTCGCAAATGTCCATGGGCGGCAATTATCACTAATCAGGTGAATCACCAGCTCGTAACATAAACTTTCCTCATTATAAAGGAAACAAAACAACGTTTATCAGACATACAGTGGTTTTTCAATGTTAATTCGCTAGTATTTATTTTACAAAAAGCAATTTAAATTAAAGCCGTTAAGGTCCAAAATAAACTGACTCAGCAGTTAAATAGATACAATCTTCTACTTTTACTAACCTGCCTGCGTAACCTGCATTTACTTGGGATTCCTCAAACCACCGACGCTTTCACAATACTCGCTAATCCTAGCTCTTCTTAGCTATGTTTGATAATGGAGTCGGCCTCTGTTACCATAATTCTCTCGCTCTAGTATCAAAAACTTTTTCTTATAAGTAGCGTTCACTTATGACTACCATTAGGACTTTCCATCTTCTATCAGGTTCTGCTTCCGGTTGTCTGGAGTTCTTTTAAGTGAGGTGGTCTGCTCTTCTTTATGCGCAACAACTTCAATGTCTTCCCAATAAATTCGTAACATTCATAGCCGTTTAAATCATAGACGAAATTGACCTATTATAATTAAAGGCAACTTTTTCCGCAATTACCAGAAACTTCAAAACTTCAAATATGAAACAAACGTAATGCACCGACAATTCAACGCGATATCAGCAAAATGGCTGACTGCAAGCAGTGTTGTAGTGGTGGGCGATACATATCGTATCAGATATGAAAACTAGATATTAGTACAATATCCGATATCGCTTACTGGCTCGTTCAATATCTATGTATTTTACAATATCTGATATTTCCGAAATCTGATGTAACGTGCTCGCTCGCTATACCGACACGAATCGCGATATCATACGCGTTTGCCACAATATCTGATTTTTAAACAGATTTCGAGAGACAAAGCGCGTGAGATACAAATACTCACTAGTTAGAGCGGGACTGCAAGCATGCACTCAGGGCAAGCAGTGTTGCCAACTCTTATAAAATAAATTCGAGTCGCTAGCAAAGAGTTAGCCACCACTCAAACGTCGTCTTTATTGACCTGACTCAATAACAAAAGTCACCACAAAGTCGCTAAAAGGAGCGGACCTAGGATTTTGTTCCGAGAGGATAATTACGGTAATTTAATTAATTTAAATACATATAAAAATAGTAATTTTTAACTATATATATTGCCATAATTGTAACAATCAATCATAAATTGTTGTTTCAATGACAATTTGCCAGAAAAATAAAATAACGTGTAATTACACACGAAATAGAGACAACTGTAGAAGAGGAAGTGGTTCTCACCGGATCTCCTATCTCCCTGATCTCCCTGGTACCGGATGCGCTATCGCCAAACTAACACATCAAATATGTTTGATGAATTTATGAATTGATTAGAGGAAAATAATAATAAAATAACTAATGGTAGACCTCATTGTGATACATAACAGTAATTTTCAAATATCTTTATTTTTTGTTATAAGCAGATGACCATGCTTGACTGAGATTTTTTAGAATATTCCGTAAAGCTATTAAAATAATTATCCTCAAGATGATTGATAGTAAAATTTTAACTATGGTCAGTTTATAAATGTACTGATGCTATTACATGATACTATTACATGTTTACTTAAAGCTATCATCAAGGTGTTATCGATATCGATATAGGTTATATTCTATACTATCCGTAAAGCTAACTCAGCTAAATCTTGCAGCAGCCTCGGCTGTTGCACAAATGGGCAGGCTCGTCCGGGTAAGTACCGCGACCTCACAGAAGACCAGCGTCAAGTGGAAGTATAATACTTTCACGTTTCGTCTGGTAAGTGAGGTGGACAGAGCCAAATTTCCAAAATGGTTGTTAACGCATCTGCAAACCCTCAGGTGAAGGAGATGTCCATGGGCGGCGGTATTCACTTAACATCAGGTGAACCGTCTGCTCGTTTGGCAACTTCTCACATAAAAAAAAGGAAGCTGATAAATAGTGCAATTTAAATTAAATTTAACCTGAATTTGGCGCGCTCTCTCATATCATATCCCTTGGTACTGTATAATTCTGTATCGAGTTAATAAAAAATGTATTCCTCACATGTCCTAATATTGATTTCATTTGTACTCCGAACGTCGTCAGATAAGTCGCTAAAAGATTTTTGTCGTCAAATCTCATTTTTTGTCACAAAGACCTACATGAAAGTCAACACTTCTAGTGATAAAGTCACTAAATTGGCAGCATTGAGTGCAAGGCAGGGTTTCCTCATAACCTGTCAAAATTCCCCAAAGGCAGACAAAAGTTTGCCATTTTGGCTGTTAATAAAAATGATACATTAATAAATTTTGGCCCCTTTATATTCAAACATCATATGTATTACTAAGACTACGCTATCTGTCTGTCTTTCACCCGGCTGTATCTCATGAACCGTAATATTTAGACAGTTAATTTTTTTTTGTTGTTTGATCACAGTTCATGTATTTCGGATGTAGCTATAACAACCAATACTAAATAATAGAATCTAGACTCGCACTTGACCGGTTTTTTGAAGTTGGTTTTACATTTAAATAAACTAAAGGTGATTTGCTTTTATGATTTCTTTTGATATCTTGTCATCGCCTGATTAGAAAATGATAGCATTAGTAAGAAGTCAGGGTGCATATACTACTTAATGCAATCAATTTTCTTATAAACCAATAACGTTTTGCAAACAAAAGAAAGCCACCCATAATTTTAATTCCCCAAAGTAGTGAAATAATTCACATTATGGTAACCCTATCACAGCTAGTGATGTGTTAAAGCCATAATAAGTATTTAAGATATAACGAATTAACGATAGATGTATTATTAGGTAAGCATATATTTTTTTTGCGCAATGCTAAACTTACACCAAGCACTTTCTAGTTTCGTCTAGTTCCATTACAATTTCATTCAAATTTTTTATTGGTATTGCATGCTCGAAACCACGCAATTAAGTTGTAAGTTTGTTAGTGGTAAGTGCAAGAAACTAGTGTAATGAATTAAATGAAGAATTTTTTTTTAAATAAAGAGAAATGAAAACGGGATAAACTCTTAGAAAAATCACAACACTAAACGTCACATCATATTCATATGAATATGAAATGACATTATGAAACCAAATAGTAAATTATTAATATATTAAGAAATTAAAAATTCTAAATACCGTATTTACTTCAGCGATCAGTCAGTCAGTCTTCTTAAACATTACATACTAGGTATAAGTAAATAATATATTAGCACAATACAAATGGTTTGCCTCACATACTTACGATGGACATATCGTATTTAGTAACCGGCAATAATTTGTTTAGTCAGTGGCTTTGTAACGAACCCATAATAGAAAACTTTAAAACCCTGTCTGAAACACACAGTATGGCATCAGGCGATTTTAGTATAATCAAAGCTAATTTGGTTAATATTTGTTGGTCTTACAATGTATTTCAATATAAAGACGAATTTTATGTTACCGGAACTGGGGCTGAAAACGAAAACGTTGTTACCAAACTTGATACTTTAGAAAAACAACCACAAGCCACTGAAGTTATTGTTGCTGGTAACGATTTTAATATATTTCTAATTGACGTAGAAAATTCTAAGATTTGGTTGTTCAAAGTAGGAGAAATATTTAAAGTTTCACCTATCAACTTAGTATTTGATTGTCCATTAGAGAGAACACAACATTTAAAAGTTTCTAAAGTGATCGTATCAAATGAGACTATTGTTTTCTTGACACATGGTGGACATGTATTTTGTGGAATAACACCAATCTATTTAGATACCAGCCACTGTATAGGAGAAGTTTGCGACATAGAGTGTGGGTATGATTGCTATGTACTTCTTACCACAGCTGGCCATGTTTATACATGGGGATGTGGTCAGTAAGTATGCTTATATTTTTAAACATGATCAATTATATTTTTATAGCTTAAAGAAAGGATTTTTTTAATATACTATTAAATGAGTTCTTCTAAACATGAATAGCTCTTTGCTTCTCGAACTAGCTGTTGCTAGCTCTAGTCTAGTCTCCTACCTCTCCCTCTGTTCTTAATATGAATTATTTTTATAATGACAAAATTGCTTTTTTCCTTTTCATGTGAGGTAGTAAATAAGCTGGCAGTTCACCTGATGTTAATAACTACAGCCCATTGACTGTAGACTGTAGGGTTACAGATGCATTGCCCCCTTTTAATTAAGTGGGTCATAGCTATCTCACTCATGAGACAAAATGCAGAAATATAACACTTCATCCTGGTCTTCTGTGAGGTTGTGGTTGTTGTACAACGGACTCACATTAAGAGACTTTTTCATTTGTTGTATGCATGACTGCCCAGTCATGCAACAGAAACAAATGTTATGTGTATTTTATGCATATTCTATTTATTTATGTATACACCCATTACTTTTACTTCAGCGTCACTTATAGGTAGGCTGCTATATAAATTCACATTACTTTAAAAAATTAAAATCTATAAGACTAACATATAGATGTACTTAAAATTGTTGTATTTTTTTTCTTTTAAACATTTATTTCATGTTGGAGTTTGAATTAATATTATCAATAAAAATATAATATCATAATGTCTCGACATGCATTGCTTTAATTTAATAAAAATAATGTTTTGTAATTTCAGAAGACTGCAACTAGGCCATGGTGATATTGCAAATTTGAGTATACCTACTGAGGTAAATGCATTGGCTGGCTTGAAGATTGCAAAAATTGCCACCGGCGGATTTCATTCACTAGCACTGAGTGAATTTGGTGATGTTTATGCCTGGGGATGGAATGATGATGGCCAGCTAGGTGTAGTAATGGAAAGTGAAACGAGCATTGGTGCTGAAAGGCCAGTAAGCAGTGGTTTACCAAAGCTAGTGGACATTTATGATGATAAAGGAGTACAGGTTGAGTTAAATATAGTTGATATAGCATGTGGTTCAAGACACTCTGTTCTGAAATTGGAAGACAACTCAGTTTGGGCATCAGGATATAACAAATATGGCCAGTTAGGGCTTACAAAACAAAAATATCCATCAGTGAAAACTTTTCAAAAAGTACTGGATTGTGATTATGATTTTAAGCTCATGTGTGGGACATGGAGTACTGTTTTAGTAGTAAAGAAATAATGAGATGTTATTGTTTTTATTAATTTGGTTGAGGCTGCACATACCTGTGTAAATTTTGATTATATTAATATTGAACCTATCTTATTTGTTTGCAGTTTTATCTACTTGTTTGTGTGTAATGTATATAATGTAACCAACATACACTGTTGAACAAAGGGCTCCAACTTAGAATGCCATTAAGAAAGTTTCATTAATCACAATGTTTGTGAACAATCTAAGTATCCACACAGCGATATATCAACAATGTTTGTAAATTATTAGGCAGAAATATTATCCTATTTATTTTCATCTAATTAATCTGTCTGCTTAATTTTATACACACTGCAGTCAATTATAATTATAGATATACACAGCCATGACCATGCACTAAAACTAGCAAATAATTTTTTATAAATCAGAAAACACATACAACAAAATCACACATACATAACTGCCAAATATTTTTATTTTTTGAATAACTGTCATCTTGCCTCCACACACTGAAGACTCCTGCAAGTTAGGGGTTAACACTGGGATAGGCAACCTGTTGAATTAGTAGTGACGCAAAACTTCGTCCATGTGGATTTTATATTCAGGATTAGAGAATTTGATGTGTGAGAAATAAATAAAACAACATAACGTAGAAAAAGAGAAAACAACAGGATATAAATGTTTACATGGCATATTGTTTTTATTTGATTATATTATATTGATATTATATTGTTCTTTATATTGTTTATTATTGTTTTTATTTGATGCACATAAAGTTTACACACTTCTGTAGGTGTTATTGTATTGTCTTCCGCCACGACGCGTTAGTTTTGGGCCCTCAAATTCAAGCAAACAGCTGACCAGTCACGGCGTGAGGTTTACCATTAAGCACCAATTTCAATATCAATTCCAACATATTTCTCCTTAGTTTTAGCTGAAATTGCAGCCTTTTATTTCAAAAGGACATTATGATATAAACTACAATAGTCTCGCAAATTAGAAAACAACAGTTTTTTTTCTTGTATCTTGTATTAACTGATGTTAACACTTTTAGCCCAGAGACTATTAAAGATTCATCGAACGCAGAACCGGTGGGCTATCCAGAACCCACGGGTTTGATATCCTCCTAGTGGGTAGGGCTGCGCATGTCCCTAGCTTGCTTGTTTGGCGAGGGCCTTTATAAAAATGTAATGACAGGTAAGTACTTCGAGTGAAGTGTAGTGTCACATTTTTGTTGGGGTTTACTTCTATTCTCCATTTGCGGAACCATTCACCGAGGCGTTCGGCAGCGCTTTGGAGGCGAGTAGTAAGATTAAGTAGACTATCTGTGTAAAAGAGCGCCGTGACATGTGCGAAAAGCGCGAGATTGACGTAGGGGTCTTTAATTATGTCGCTCCTCTAGAGCGTAAAGGTAGGGCGAGAGGCAGGAGCCTTGAGGAACGTCAGCCGTGACACGGCTGGTAGGAAGGGTGCCCTCAATTCTATATCGAAAGGAACGATTCGACAGGAAGGCCCGAAACTGACCCACAAATAAACGACTACTCGTGGCTCGTTGTTACTTAAATTGATGTACAGTTTTTAGCCCTCTAGGAAAAAATTGAAATTCTCGTATTATCCCAGAATACAAAATATATGTATGCCGAGGCCGACTCATTTCAATTCGTTTATTTCCAGTCAGATTAGTCACTCTATAGAGCGTCCTCCAAAGCGCCCTAATAATGATAATAATAGCGTGGCACCCCGAGCGCCCGGCCACCTCAAGTCCGGCGGATCTGTAAAGGCACATCCTGCCAAAAAAAATAGCCCACTGGCGGATTCGTTTCCTACATATAAACAGATGTATTAGCGGAGTCTCCTCCCATATAACAGTTGTAATAGTCCATGGATGAAGACCTCAAAGAAAAGTTACTTGATATCGCGTGTTTTATTTTGTGTAAAGAATCGACGAGGCTTGCCATTGAGCGGAGTTTGAACGATCCCTAAAATTATTAACAAGAACATAATAAAAGCTTGTTTTTAAAAAAGTATGAGTATGATATTATTTTTTTTTTGTGACGTGCAGTTTGCTGTTAGCTCGGCGGCTTTGACAGCTTCGGCGGAAGAGGTCCGCGGGCAGACGACCCACGGACTCGGGAGAACAACGTAGCTGGTGCACGACGACGACAAGAAAACGCCGTCCACTCCGCTGCACTCCGCAACACCCTGCTAACGTAAGATGGACAATCGACTAACAGGGGGGGGGGGGGGGGGGGGGGCACGACACGATCCAAGGGCTCCTCGGATGGAGGTTCGAACCTCGGCTTGGATCGCAATCGATATGGGGACCTATCCAGAGGAAGGAATTAGGTTGAAATTGTGATTTAATCCCGAGACGTATTGACGTTGCGCTATCGCTTACGGATGAATAATTATACAAACAATTATTCATGAGAGCAATTTGTTTACGAGATTTGTTCATCTTTATTAACATGTGTTAACGGCGTTAACAATCTTAATAAAAACAATTCATTCACGAAAACATCGTCTAAAAAATAAAGGTTATACAATTAATCACGCAGCAATTAGGAGCGCCCATACACTCGTCAGTTAAATGATAATGACAACACGACGTAATGATTCAAAAACGACCAGGCACACGAGTATATCGCGTGTAGGCCGAGAATCTGGGACCTCGCATTCGCCGTCGATTGCGCTGAGCCATATGTCTGTATGTTAGTGCATTGTGGTTATGTGACGGAATGCGCGCGGGAGGATCGCGGCGGGTGGCGCCTCGTTAGGCGTTATGTCGACGCAGCTACGTGGCTTCTCGTTGAGCGCCTCTGACCGTGCTATGCCGTTTAGAAATAGCGCCGTTGCGTTTTCGGGCAGCGGCTGGTTATTAAATATATTAAACGCGCGCGTAAGTGTGTCGTCCGGATCATCTATAACGTTTAGTGGACGGCGTAGTCTCGGATGCACGGTCCGAGGGGGTGCGGGATAGATTCCGAAAGCTTTCACCAACGGATTTGTATGGGCGTTAATGCTTTTGAAGTGTCTTTTCGACGCTTCTTTAAAGAGGGTGGACAGGGATGTTATATTTAAGTCGCAATGCAAATCGGCATTCCGCACGTACCACGGTGCGCCTGTTGCGTGACGAAGGAATTTGTTTTGAATTATTTGTAATGGCTTTAATCTATTAGGAGGTATATGCGCGAAACAAACACTCGCGTATGTCATAATGGGGCGAATACAGGTTTTATATAAATGTATTTTATGTTTTAGCGACATTTTACTTGTCGCTCTAGAGAGGAGCTAGGCGAAACATCACAAATTTAGCTTTATTGACTACTGCTCGTATGTGTTCTTTGAAGGTGAGGCGGCAGTCTAGAGTGACGCCGAGGTATTTGGCCTTATTTTCCCATGGAATGGGTTGGCCGTATAATTTAACGGGAGTGAGGTTTCTGCCTGATTGGCAATTAAACATGACAGCTTTACTTTTTTCCGGGTTTACCTCGATTCGCCACATTCTGAACCATTCGCCAATGGCGTTTAGTGCAGATTGCAAACGGGTAATGACCTGGTTTTTGTTGCGGTCGGATGAGATGAGTATGATAGTACCCCTAGACTTGACTTGTATTTCTTTTTGATATTTATGTAGTCAATGACACTTCCATTGTTTTTTGCCTTTTAAGCCAAAGAGAATATACTCATAACGTGTTAAGGGGCCCAAACACTATCCTGCCTGCCAGTCCGCCGTGCTGTCCGTAAACTGTCCTTTTTAGCCGTCCATTATCAGTGCTGTTTCATTTCTCAATAGTGTCAATTATGCATTTTCGTACTATTTCGAAAAAAAAGAAAATAGAATTTCTGCTGTTTTTTAGTTATTAGATAAAAATAAAAAAGGTGTGATTCTTAAAAATTGGTTAAAGGAAAATAAACGTTAAGTGATTTACTTAAACTAGACTTTATTAAAGTATTCAGCTATTGCAGCGCGGAAATGTCATTACATAAACATATAACCTAGACGTAATCTCATGTTTCACTATTTATCATAAGTGTCCGATCCGTCAATTTATAAAGGAATAATCTTTTGGAACTAAGCTACAGGAAACGCATCTCTAGGGACAAAATTGTATGCATTTCAAAAACTTAATACAAATCTGCAATATATTTGAAATAAATACCATGAAGTTAATTTACGAAAGAGATGTATATCATATACATTTACCCTTTGTGTCCAGCAGCAACTGTGCGGTTTTCCGGGATTAAAAGTAGCCCATAAACTATCAATATGCGAAAAATCATCACGGTCTTTAGCTCAGTTGCTGCATGAAACAAGGACAAACCATTAATAAAGTAGTAGTAGGGGGAATATTTTTTTTAAATAACATGTAAGGCCTTTCGTTTTGGCAAAAATGCCTTATATAGGAATAATTTACTTGCTAGAACTGCTTTTCTTGCAAAGTAATGCAAGCAGAATCATAATCTTAATTATCACCACCTTGTTGCGCGTTTTTTCTATCTTTTGGCGTAACTCCATCTTCTTAAATTTTTCTTTCATTATCTTCTTTCTGAAACGCATAAAGTACACAGTGAGGGTATAATACGACGCAGACATAGTGTACGACAGTAGTGACGCTATGGCGGACAGAGTCTATTCATGCAGAAAAATAACTTCTTGACGCAATCATAGCAATGAATAATTGATAGAATTAAAAAATGTAGGTATGTTTTCTCGCGGTGCACATCGCCAAATTGAAATTTGTATCTCTTTCCCGACTATGTTACCGCTGCGAGCCATGGCTTTTGCGCCAGGAAGTTTGCGAACTCAATGTTAAAACAAATAATATTAGTCATTAGGGGTATACGCTGAGCTGTGAGGGATGAATTCACAAAAATATTCCAACTTTATATTAAATTTAGGACCTTACATAATTCAATCTCTTAATTAACAAACCAAGCGGCGTTTAACATGCCCTAACCCTGGAGTTAACTAAAGTAACTCGAGAGAACATTGGCTGATCATGGTTGAACAAAATGAACGGGATCTAAAAGGAACTCCCATTTACATACTCTCAGACTCGTTTATACACAGGCGTTATTGATTCATACTCCAGTACATATTTATAACGGATTAAATAAGATGGAAATATCATTAAAGCGAGATGCAAAATGTATAGTAACCTTAAATCACAATTCTTGCATCTTTTTGGCAAGCGATCTGGGTCGAAGCCCTGGTCTTCCGGCGAACTGCTGTCTGCTGTAGAAACCAAAACAATGCTATAGTAAATCTCTCAGCCTCCGTGCAACAGACATGTAGTGACATGACATGTGTGTCCGTAGACCGTAGAGCCGATATGACTATAATCTCGCAGTGAATGACACGTATACACATCACGCGAGCTACATTCCCGGTTCAAAATTCGAATATCGTACTTATCGACTCAAAGAAATCGCATTGGCAATTTGACAAGGAAAATAATAATGAAAGCATATAATTACATGAAAAAATTTTTTTTTTAAATGGGAAAGAACTATGTACAAATGCTAAGGCAACGCTAATATTTGAATTTCATGTTGAAAAGTATGCAATAATAAATGTATAAAACTAATATTAAAGTGTTATTATTGCTATTATACGTGTATTGTTCAGTTCTTTGTTAATTTTATAGTTATATTTGGTTTATTTCCCTTATAAGCGTATTTCAGTTAAGTGTTCGATGTTTAAATTATAATAAACAGGATCGAGCTTTGTCAATTACCTATACAAGTTCAATCTGCTATATTCAATTTGCGTCAGATAGTCAAATTTAATTGATTCCGATCAATGGAAAATTACAACATATCGTACTGATAATACAATAGTGTAACTCAAAATTCTTCATATTCAAACTTTAAATTTAGAATTTAAATTAATCTATGATTAGAAAAGAAAAGTAAAATAGCAACAACACAATACTGGTAAAGCATACCAATCAGCAACTAAAATACCTGCAAAAATGATGGGTCCGACCTGTGGCGAAAATTGCAAGTTAATTTGTCGTTCAATTTTCGGTTTTAGAGACCTACAAGAGTTTCAAAGAGTTTAGGAGACCTGCAAGAACAAAGAAATTTCATAACTGTACATGCTACGGAAATTAAACCAAAATATAGATACTCATCCACTCAAAATTTACGTAAATCAAATACCAACTGATCAGAATGATCTTCTTAATGTTCAGAATGATCAATTCAAAGAGTTTAAACATCCTTTTTCAAATGTCTAATGAAATTTGAAATGCCATTTGACAACTCATTAGTTAACTTCTACTTCTAGTCTTCAGAATGTTAACTTCTACTTCTATTCCTTGGATGATTGATCATTCAAAGAGTTTAAACATCCTTTTTCAAATGTGTGACAACTCATTCAGAAACCGGGCCCGAGTTGTTATATGTCTTGATTTCAAAGTTAACCCCCCCTACGGTCAATATTTTTTTATTTATTTTTATTTCGATCTACGCAAAAGGAGCGTATGGTATGTTGAAGTATATATGAGATATAAATTATGGGATCCCAAGCAGATGATAAAACCCAACAGTCTTCTCTATTAAAATTAGGATGTTTCTCTATTTCAATAGCCTTGCGGATCATCCTTAAAATGAATCAGTGTTCTTTTGCGAGGATTTTCGGTTGATCATCTAATATAGTGGTTGACGCGGTCTAAAATATGATTACAAACTGCAGACTTCTGCAATGGTCTATGGTAGTGTCAAGATTTTTATTAATACCATAACCACAGATCTAATCTACATTCAATGTGATTTATCTTTAGCCGAATTATACCGCGATTACAAAGAATATCGTACAAGAAAGAACCTACTTTTAACCGTATTTTAATAGACTTCAGTATTTCCTTCCACAGCCAAAGATAGATCAGTCTGATCGCTGTGAAAGCTATAAAAACGCTGACGAAGAAGGAAAACCAAAATATTACCCAAGTTTACAAAAATCACTTGAAAGAAAAATAATTATCCAGATTAGAAAAAAAAAGATCCACGCTAGGGTCGACAGGAGAATTGTTGCTATTTACGTCTCACAGGCTGTAATACTGAATGTCTTTTGGTATCAACCAAAAGACATTCAGTATTTTATTACAAAAGTAGGATTAATTGTTTTAACTTCACAGTGAGCTACTTACACCCTAAAAACGTTGAATGTTTCTTTTGTGATGAAACGGAGGGAAAACGAGGTTAGATTGTAATTGCGAGTTGTATACTGAATTATATAAAAAAAATACACTGGCTAGTCCTGATATTTCTTTTATGTTACAAGGAATAATACTCATACTTTGATTTACTCTGTTTTTATACTTAGACTATTTTTTTATTATTTTGGGCAGTTTATTTTGTTATTTTTTGTTGAAGTAAGCACAAAATGTCGAAATAACATTTGTAATGTTATTTTTTATAAATAAATATTATTTATCGGACTGAATTGTTCCGATTATCTGGTTTTACTATCAATGTCCTACTGGTATATTGTAACTCCAAAATGTTACGCAAAACTGTACTGAAAGTCAATATCGAAGAATAAGTGGTAACTTACGAAAGTGTTAATTTCTTTGTAAAATTTTGATGTTTCATAAGAATGCGCAAGCGTCAATAATTACTGACTAGCTGAAAATTTGTTTAGGAAAATACAGTTTAACTCAAAAGTTGTAATTCTTTTTTATTACCTGTAATCTTTTAAATAATTTTAATTGATAATTGCACTTTTTTATTAATAAACCTAATTAAGTATTCATTTTTTTCTAATCTATAACTGGAAGTAAATATTAAATTTCATTTGTCGAATCTGAGAAAAGTCACATTTTGAGTAACAACAGTAATGTTTTATCAGTGCGATATATAAAAGCTAAATTATTTTTGTTTTAAATATGTACGGGAGGGTTAGGGTTTGTTATATAACCGCGACATTAAATGACACCTACAATTCTTAATGTTGGCCCACTCTCGCTTCAAGGATGGCGTATTAGTGCCGGCGGCGGACATAGCAGCAAAATCCATTTTGCGGGCGGCTTGACAACAAATGACTGGTGTCTGCTTTTCGACGCTGAAAAGATTAATGAAAAATTTGAAACGCCTTCAATTTACCTTTATACTAGAAAACAGAATAAGTTGTCTAAATACTAGCCTGACAGGAAGAGGCGGAGGCGGGTTATTAAACATTGTTTGTATATCTGACGGCGCTTCTGAAAACATTGATTTAGTAAGTTATAATTTTATTTAAAAAATGTAGTAGGCAGATGAAACCCACCTTCGGGAGGTGGCGGAGGCGGTGGCCATATTTTGACATTTTTATGATACGCCAACACGTGGGGAGGCAATTCACCGGTTCTATAAAAACGTTGCTCTTCAAACACCGTCGCGTGAACGTATTTGCAGTTTGGGTGCGTGCAAACGGAATTCTGAAAGTTCCAGCAAAACGTGTAAATGCCGACTAGATGCGAGATGTTGCATTGGCGCCTTTGTTCTTTCAAAGTCAAACACATGTTAGGTGGCTTGTCGGGCGGCGGCGGATATGTAGGCAACGGCGGCTGCACTTCCGGTTTCAACGCATCCTGTTTGCTAGGTTTAGGCGTTGAGGGAAGCTCCGGCGTAGTAGCGGTCGGCGTAGATGCGATAGACGTAGCGCGATTCGTGGTCTCGTTGTGTTCCATTTTTGATAAAATGAACTGTTTCATTTTATTCGATTTGAATGTCGGTTTATTGGTGATTTTTCCAGGCCGGCTCTATTTTGAATCTAGAACGAGCAATACTTTAATTTATCAAACATTAAGTCACTTACGATTTAGTTAGCGACCTTACGGTGGTAGGTCCTCGGCTGTTGCACGAATGGGCAGGTTCGTCCGGGGAAGTACCACGGCCTTACAGAAGACCGGCGTAAAGTGGAAGTATAATACTTTCGCGTTTCGTCTGGTGAGTAAGTTGGCCGGAGCCCAATTTTCAAAAGGTTGTTTTCACAAATAAAAGCTTAAAATATTAGCCTATATATAGCGTGTCGTTACAACCGCGACAATGAACACACATAATTATAGAAGATAACTTTTTAATATTGTATTAAGCATTTACGAATGTAAATGCTTAATATAATAATTAATAATTTAAGAATTTAAAACATCAATATTTACTGAGTTATTAAATTTTACAAAACAAACATTTTTATAACATCCTTACGTATATAACTGTAAAGTAAAGTTCATTTGTAAGGGTCACATAGCATAATTATTATGAATGGGTAGAATGAATTTGAAAGAGATAAAACATACTGTTAGAACGAGAGAATTGTAATGCGACGTTTTAGTAACAAATGAAAAAGTCTCTGAATGTATGAATCAGTCAGTTGTATATCCTGTACAAATTTTCTTTTTTATTTAATTAGTTTGTTTGAAAAATATATCGTTTAATTATGGATTTTTTAACGTTTTATATTTTTTATGATTATTGGCAAGTAGCGTTAAATGTGTGTTCGATTATTCTCTCGGTTGTAACGACACGCTGTATATGAATAGTGTACACAAAGCAACGGCGCATTTCAATTTTAATTAAATTTAAAAATTCTACAATTTTTTTTCTCGTAATTCTGGTTTGCATGGATTTTAACTTATGTATTATATCATCATTAAAATTTCTCTATCGATGTAAATTCTTTCAAGCTTGAAAACGCAATAGTATTCGCTGGTGCACGAATGGGCTAGTCTATCCGGGGACTACCACGACCTCGCAGAAGACCGGCGTGAAGTGGAAGTGTTAAATTGCTGCGTTTTGGTTGAGGTAACCGGAGCCTACTTTATTAAAAAGTGGCAACGCATCTATGGGGTCACAAATGTCCATGGGCGGCGGTAATCACTAAAAATCAGGTTAATCACCAGCTCGTAAAACTAACTTAACTCATTATATGATAAACAAAGCGATGTACAACAGGCATACAGTTTTTTTTTTCAATGTTAACTAGTATATATTTTACTTAATTAATCAAAAGTAATTTATATTTTAAGGGCGCAAAATAACCTGACTCAGCTGTTGATATATTTATGTAATGTTACTAACCTGCTTACGTAACCAGCATTTACTTGGGTTTTCCTCAAACCACCGAAGTTTTCACAATAATCTCTATCCCTAGCTCGTTTCTACTATGTTTGATAATGGAGTCGGCCTCTGTTACAATAATTTTCTCGGTCTGGTATCAAAAACTTTTTCTTAAAAGTAGCGTTCACTTATGACTCCCAGCATTAGGACTTTCCATCTTCTATCAGGTTCTGCTACCATTGGTCTGGTGTTATTTTAAGTGATGTGGCCTGGTCTTTATGTGCAACACCTTCAATGTCTTCCCAATAAAATCCTAACATTAATAGCCAATAGTTTAAATCGCAGACGAAATCGACTTTAAATAATTATTAAAAGGTAACTTTTCTCCCAATTACCAAAAACTCCGCAATTTAAACAAACGTAATACACCTACGAGTCGACGCGATATCAGTAAAATGGCTGATCAGTGTCTCTGTACGTAAATCAATAATTTCCGGGTTGCAATGTGAAAATTACGGTGAGTCTGCTAAAAGTGTAATTATTCAAAAGAAAAACAACATTTAGAACCAAATCAAGCTTGATTAAATTTGCTTTTTTAATTATTGACAAAGAAATTTTAAAGAACATGTGAAACATCGAACTCAACTCACTCACTAAAAAAACCGTACAATCTCTCACTTTGAAATTACGATTTCCTAAAGATTAAAGCTTGAAATTGAAATAGTTCTTAGATTTAAATTTTTACTACGTATGTGTATGTATGTTGTAACGCACGCGACTAAAAGACAACGCATTTTACGTCATTCATCCATCACACTTACAAATATCACTTCTTCTGACATTTATATAAGGACGAGAATAGATTGCGTGGAGATAAACTTTTAGATCTTAGTGATTCCCCTGGAATTCTCGGTAACCGGGAGTAGTGTTGCTATTAAAAAAATATTAGGAAAGTTGACTGATCGATGATGAGATTCGTTATAAACAGTATATGATGAAAAATTTACAATTACGTAATGTATAATGGTAATACGTTGATATATGACACGGTAATAAATAAACATTTTTAAATTTCTAAAATATTGAATATTAAATACTGAAGGGCAAGCAGTGTTGCCAACATCCACGATGGATCATCTCTGTCACTCGGGACTCAGAATGGAATATCGAATATTTTGGAACACAAAACATAATTTAACATTTATTTGCTATAAACTTTCGAGATTTCTCATTAAATTTGCATGAAACTCATTTTCGAAGCATTAATTATTTAAGGACAAATTCTTTTCGTCTAATGTAAATTTAAATTAAAGTTTTTTTTTAATTAATTTTCTAATATTAATTAAAGTTTTTTTTAACTTTACGGCATATTGTTTTATAATAGATCTTGTTCACTTCTCCATAAATTTCCAAGTCCAATTGAGGATTTGGAGCGATTTAGAAGATGGGTTATATTGGGGATGATTTGTTACTGTTAGGGGAGTATGATAGCTACATATATAAAAGCCGACGTCCACTTAAATTTTCCCATGCATTAAGCTCATGAAGAGTCCGGTTCCATAGATAAACAAAGTAAAATACTTAGGATTCGTCCTTGACATTAAGCTCAAATTCGGTCAGCACGTGACTCGAGTCAGTAAACGGGCGGCCTTTGTACACGGTCATGTCCCTTCGTGTGCCGTCACTTACAGATCCCTACCGCTAGGTACGTTTCGCTGCAATTGAAATAGACGAGTGCGACAAACATTTACTAGGTTCCGCAACGTATCCGGCAGGTTTTCCCTCATGAAAATGTAACAAAGCAAAGACTATTACAATGTGTTGAGTTGCGTGTGTTTTGAGTAATTTGTAAATTGTAGGTATATATGGCTCGAGAAGGCACAAAAAAGGGTTGTAAGAAAAGAAAGCTGGAAGTTGGAGATGTCCCTTAATGTCTCAGTTGAACCGCGGTCACTGGTCTTTTCCCACAATACTTTACTATTAATTCTTGAGTAGTAGTCTTTGGCAAACTAGTCTTCACCACAGCGCTGTGGTGATTAAGGTGTGTGCGTTTTAACATAATTAAATAGGATTGTTAAATTTATTCATCTATATATGTATTACTTTTCAATTGATATTTACAAAAAATGGCGTAGACAAGTAGTAAATAAATAATGAAATGTTATTTTTTTTATTATTCTGGTTAACTTTACATAGGTACATGCTGGGTGCATATACCTATGTAAAGTTTGTATATGGAGATTGTATTAATATTGAAACTGTCTTATTTGTTCACAGTTTTACCGAACTGTTTGATGGTTAATGTTTATTATGTATGTAATCATTTGCCGGCAGACATCCAATGTTGAACAAAGGGCTCCAACTAGAATGCCACTAGGAAGCTTCATTAGGCACAGAGTTTGTGAACAATCTAACTACCCACACAACGCAAACTTGTTTGTAAATTTTTAAATATATTAATAATAAACATTTTAAATTATACTATTTTTTTATTTCATCTATTCAACTATTTAATGTCTGCTTATTTGACAAACACAGCAGTCATGGCTGACAAGACACAAATATACAAAGAAACTCACAAAAAGTATTGTATAAATCAGAAAATCGTCCAAATGTTTACCACGCATTTTTGATTGTTGAAAACTATAAATAGGTTGATGCCATTATTTTGATTTATAGCCCTCTTCCATCCACATACTTTGAAGACTCTATGCAAGTTAGGGGTTTGTACAGGGCAACGTGTAAAATTTGTTAAAATAGTAGTATTTACCCACAACCTAGTCCTTGTGGATTTAATATCCAGGATTCGGGAGAAATTTATGTGTGAGAAATAAAACAACATGACTAAGAAAAAGAGAAAACAAGAGTAAAAAATGCACACGGCATATCACTTCATATTGTTTTTATTTGATGCACATAAAGTTAATATAGCTTTGACTCAAGTCGTACTCAATGAATTGTAACATATTTCGTTTTACCATGGGGTTATTGAACATATCAATGCTTTAGCTGAAATTGCAGCCTCATATTTATAGCGACATCCATTTTTCTAAAGGACGTCATCATATAAACTACAACACTCAAATATTATAAAAGAACAATTTTTAAATTTTATGTGGCCACTCCTTGAAACAGTCCCTCAGTACCCACATACATATTTCGTTGGCACAATAGAAATGTTTCATAGCTTTACTTCTGCATATCTTTTTAGCTCTCCCTTTTTTAGACTTTTGAGACAATATTAATTGTTTTCTTAGAATGTTTTGAAATAGGGAAAAATATTAAGAAAAGTAAATGAAAAATTATTAACGAAACGAAACAAATTCCGAAATGCCAAGTAGAATTTTACAAGCAACAATTCCAAATCGCGGATCAAGTATGAAATTGGACGGAAACAATGGAACGGAAACAACGGAACTAAAAATTGTTGCTCAATAAAGAAAAAATGCAAATTAAGTAAATCCAACCTACAAAACGACTGCTCGTTGTAACTTAAAATTAATAATGAGCCGTTAAGCCATCTCACTAGCTGGGAAAAAATTTAAGGTTATAAATATCTCTTATCCTTTAAACGAGCAATTCTTGTATATACCGCGTGTCGTTACCACCGCGACAATAAATGAACACACATATAGAGGATAACTTTTTAAAATTTTATTAAACATTTACATTCTTTAGACATCAATATTTACCGAGTTATTAAATTTTCCAAAACAAACAATTTTAGAACACCCTTACGTATAAAACTGTAACGTAAAGTTCAAAGTAAATTCAGTTGCCTCTTTTTGAATCTTCGATGTAAAGGTCACAAAGCATATGAATGGGTTGAATGAATTTAAAAGAGACAAAACATACTGTTAAAAGGAAAGGCTTATAATGTGACGGTGTGGCACGAGTTGTATAGGATGTTACAAATTCTTTTTTACTTAATTAGTTTGTTTGAAAAATATTTTTTTTTAATTATGGATTTTGTTTAACGTTAATATTTTTTTATGCTTACTGGCAAGTAGCATTAGACGTGTGTTCATTTATTGTACGCTGTATATATAATCGGAATCTCGGAAACGGCTCCAGCGATTTTCATGAAATTTAGTATGTGCGTAGATTCGGGGGCAAAAAATCGATCTAGCTAAGCTAGGTTCGTATCACGATCATTTACACACTTAATTTTTTCCTTTTTTTTTCTATACCAGATCATTTTCTTTATTTCGTATTTTTTTTATTTTCAAAATACTTGATTTACCAAAAAAAACAACCAAAGGTCTTCCAGGTACTTATTATTATGCTAAATCTATTTTAATAAAATCTTAAAAAACCAACCTGTGTAACCTAACCTCTAACAAAATTTAATAATTTTTGGAGTCGGTGCCCAGTATCTCTTGAGCATAAAATTTTTTTTCCCTTAACTTTGTTATACAATTTAGGTGGATACTTTGACATTTTTATTAGATAACCGCAGTATTAATTTTGCTTAGCTTCTTACTATTTTTTTTTGCAAGGTGTTATGGTGTATAACCATTACCCATGGTGAACAATCGCATCGACTCCAAAAATTGTTAAATTGTGAGAGGTTAGGTAACATTTTCAAGATTTGATTACATAAGATTTAGTAAAACTTTTTAGTGCTAATAGAGTTTTTTGAAGTCGGTCCTTTTTAACCGACTTCAAAAGGAGGATGGTTATACAATTCGGATGTTTTTGTTTTTTTATGTATGTTAGGGCATGACTGTCATATATAGACGGATTTGCAAAATCGTCCCATATTCATTTCATATGGATCTGATGATGAGTTTCGGAGATAGACAACAGAACTGTTCAAATAAGGACAGCAAATCAAACGCGCTGCTATCGCATAAATATGCATTATTTTACACAATCACACAACGAAACATCGTTTTTATACAATTAATATACTTTTTTCGTGTTCATAGCATGTGTGCATTGTAAGCGTCTTCTTGTTTAACAGTGGGATAAATTCGAACTGCAACTCCTTCGGCAAAATCTTCAATGAAACAGTATTCTTTGACGTTTGAAATTCAAGTTGAGCCGTTGTCAAATCTTTGTATATACAATAGAACATACATAAAAAATAAAAATAAATAAAAATGTTTATACATCCGAATTGATAACCTACTTTTTGAAGTCGGTTAAGACAATCACATCTGTCAAATACGTTGGGAACTCATTTAAATCCATAAAATTGTGTGGCCGACTGGGAAATGTCCGTATTGCACCGTAAATATATGGGTAGAGGGAGTGAAATTTTTGTATGGCAAGTGAAATTTGTATCTTGTGTTGGTTGCTGTGTGCAATTAACTCATGTATGATAAGTGTTTAAGCAACGACGAAAGTAAAGAACAAAACATGATGACAGTTCATGACAGTTATTTTTGCAACTTAAAAACGAACCACCATGGAAATAAATAAAACAGAACGCACAATAAAAATACTTTATAGAAAGCTATACAATTCGATACCTGTTTCTGTTTAAACTCAACTCTATTATTACATACATACAAACAGCCAAGAGCGGCGGTCAGGTTACTATTGCGATTTCAGAGGAAACACTCGCGTCATCATCGGTCACACAGTCATGTTCCTGTACAAAAATAGCATCGCGATCACAACATCTCGAGCACCACGTGTGGGGGGCGGTTCCGTCACCGCGGCCTATACGTACACCTCGCCTCGTTTGGAGCCCGGCTTCCGCGTGAACTCCGGCGGGGTGGCCGCGCTGGCCGCGCTGTGCTCGCTGTCGCGGTCCGAAGCGGGTACTTCGGTGACGACGGCGCGGGGCGGCGGCGTGGCGGCCGCGCCGTTCCCCCTCTCCGTCCGCGGGGTGGACGGCGCCGAGCCGTTCACGAGCGCCAGCTGCGACACGCCCACGGGGGACAGCGTTACAGAGGACACGACGGGCGCGGCCGTCAGCATCGGCGCCAGCCCCGATGACGTCAGAGCCGGGGACAGGACCGCTTGCGCGAGCGCCGCGGTGCCTGGCTGGCCGGCGTGCAGGGTGTTGTTCACGGAGCCGCTGTCCAGCTCTTGTATGGGCGAGAGCACCAGCGCCCCGAGCACGGGCACCTCGTTCTGGTAGCCCTGGTGGGCCATTATCACGCCCATGTTCTGCATGCCCATCGCGATCCGGCTCTCGCGGTCCATCACCTCTTTGGTCACGTCCGGCGTCGGTATTCTGGGGCGGTTGCGTAGCGTTATCGGTATGGCCGACCCATTGCTCTTCTGCCCGCCTGGAAATTGGCCGCGGGGTGTGTGTTAATTTAATCGTCTACTCGTATAAACTTAAGATAGCTGGCCGGTTCTATGGAGTGAGTCTACCTAGATTAGCTGCCTGACTGAGCGTGTCCCAGCCAGTGTCATATGTGTCCGATGTACTAGGGTCACACTGAATTTTTTTAGAACATTGCCAATAAGTTCTTTTAAAGTTCGACTACTTTAGCAATGTAATGTAATTGAAATATTGAAGAAGGTAAAATATTGCAATCATTTGTCATTTGTTTTTTTTATAAATTGGCGGCAATTCCAATTGTCTTGACTTTAGGTACAATAATTTGTTTAATGAGTGTAGCAATCCCAGTGATTATTCGCGTGAGGGACTTCCTTCAAAAGCGACATCTGAAGGCGACATCAGCGCTATGCGACTCTTGATAGAGTAAGTGACCTACCGGCAGATTCGGGCAACCTAGGGCATTGGTATGGGTTAGGTACAAAAAATATTACACGAACATTTAGGCACGGAGCTTAGTATCAGAGGGATTCCCCATACTTTGACCGAAGATCTGAAGAGCCTTCTCATAGATTGGTGTCGCGAAATGTAAGAAAAAGTTCAATGGAGGTGACTCTAATGCTGTATTTGAATCGTTTTCACAGCATTGTTTTTGATGTAAGGAAGATGGTAAGCGAGCGATTGGTGCTGAACTCAGGTTGCTCGAGTATCTCAATAATTAATTGTAATTTATTCATATCAATATAATGCAAATAAATAAAAACGGAAAAACCATGTGTTACCGTGTCTGGAGTTCTGTCGATGCTGACCACGGCCCGACTTCCGACCCACCAGTCTCTCGTAAAGGGACATCTTATGATGAGGCGGCGGTGGGGCCGCGGGCTGCCCCGCCTCAGGGCTCGAGTATACAACCGAGTTATGACGGTTCCTCCCGAAGAGCCCCCCGGAAGAATAGGCGGTGGAAGCTGAACGAACTGATCCCATTCTGGAGATCTGCCTTTGGAACCAATTTTTTCTTCGCTCAACTAGAGGCGTATCAACACTTTCCTAAAATGATTTTTTTTTATTAGCTTCGTCTTCACAGCTCTTGCTGCCCTTTATCTGTATATGTATTACATTGCTCCTAGACCTCAAAGCGGCTTGTGCCCTTTATCTATGTATTATATTGCTCCTAGACCCCAAAGCGGATTGAACGATTTTGACGAAATTTTTATGCAATCTTTATAATAGCACAATGAAATTTTTGTATTACTTTTCGTCTTTGCAACCCTTAATGCCTTTTACACTGTATTGTTGTATATTGTGTGGAAGGGGTCCCAGCAACCACTGCTACTTAGAATGATCTATTGTAGCATCCCTTCAAAAGCATTGCGCCCGTACCACAGGATAACAGTATCCTGTGTAGTAAGGACGTTACACACACAATTGCAAAGTATAGTTTCATTTATAATATATAATCGCTGTAAATATAGGAAATTATTATTAGCCAATGATATTGTATACAAATTCGAAGTAGATATGACACTAGCGCACAGAAACTGAGGTACTCAAATTACACAGATTGATTGCTATCTGTTTCCGTATGATACGTTCTATATCACCTGTCATATTCACTTATATAATATGTCACTAACTAATCCGGCAAACGTTATTTTGTGGAATTTCGTAAAATCCGTTCTTAGCTCATCTCTAATCGGCGAAAGGAATATTCCTACCAATATAAGCCGTCTTTGGCGGCTTCAATAGAGGGGACCCCGCAGCATCGTGGCCGGGGAAGGAGTACCTTTGCTTGGCAAAATCGACTAATTTTTTAATTAAAATACTTAAAAATCATGTTGTTTTCACGGTGGTAGGGCCATCCAGCAGCCCCGGCTGTTGCACTAATGGGCAGGCTCGTCCGGGTAAGTACCACGACCTCACAGAAGACCGGCATAAAGTGGAAGTATAATACGTTCGTGAATCGCGTTTCGTCTGGTGAGTGACGTGGTCGGAGCCCAATTTACAAAAGGTTGTCAACGCAACTGGAACACTCGGGTGTAGCAGATGTCCATGGGCGGCGATATTCACTTAACATCAGGTAAACCGTCTGCTCGCTTGGCAACTTTTCACATAAAAAAATATTTTTCAATGTATTAATTTATTATGTCTCACAACAAAATAAAAAACACCGCCGGGACGAAATATGAGTGTTTCTTAGTACAGTTACAACGCGTACTATGGAACGGACTTTATTGAAGCGCTGATGGACAGTATCACACTTTAGTTCTCCAGTCAACGTGCTACTTACGTAATCGGCGTAAGTCTCGTCATGACTCTTCCTCGGTGCTTGTACGTTTGCGTACACCGCATCCTCTGCCTTAACCTTGTAGTGGTCGGCCGAGCATGGCGGCTCGTGTCGTCTGTAGTGTTCGGACGCGACGGTGTATGGCAAGTCTTTGGGCACCACCTCCTCCCAGTACTGATCCTTGAGAAGCTCGGGGTGCTCTTCGTGCATCTCGTCCACGATCATATAGGCCGCCTGCGGAGGGGGATAGAAATAAAATTTTATTGTTTTATTTAAACACGAGCAACCCGCACCGATTATACATATAAACCTTCCCTTTGAATCACTCTATCTAGTAAAAGAACCGCATCAAGAGCCGTTGCGTAGTTTTAAAGATCTGAACATACGTAGGGACAGACTGACAGCGGGACGAGTTTGTTTTATACTATGTAGTGATACGCCATGCTCTCGCCATGTTTAGATAATCTGTATAATATTTGTATATATTTATCATATTTTTATATTAAAATCATTGATCTGAACACACATGTGTAGAGTCTAAAAGTCAGGAGTTTCGAAATGAAATAGGCTGATAACATTATTCAAACCAACTGAAGCTTTAAATAAAATAATTTCACGGTGATAGTGCCATACAACAGTCTTCGCCGTTGCACGAATGGGCAGGTCCGTCCGGGTGTAAGTGTTATAATTTTGCGTTTCGTCTGGTGTGTGAGACAGCCGGATCCCACTTTAATAAGGTAGATAGAACGCATCTGCAACCCTACGTTGCAAATGTCAGTCGGCGGCGGTTATCACTCAACTTCAGGTAAACGGCATGCTCGCTTGCCACCTTTTCACGTAAAAAAAATTCTCTTGTTTTGATAAGCAAATATTTTTATTTTAGTAGTTTATTAATGAAACAAGGATATTATGTTAAGGCAGCTACCAAATATCCCCTCCAACCGGGTTCCCGCCTTGACGTGGCGGAGGGATTTAGTAGCCGTGGCTTGGTCACCCACGGCGAAGCGAAGAGGAACCCACACTGGGCTGGCCTGTGTTGTAAGGCCGGCCCGAGAGGGCCGCTCCATGTGGGCTCATTGAGCCCACTCTGGATTGCGTGCTGGAGTGTGCAGGGGACAGGTCGAGGGCGGTAGAGGTGGAACCACTCTCCCGTCTTCTGCTACCGAGGAGGAGTCACGGGGGAAGAGGAGTGTCGGTATTGCGTTGGCCGCGCTCCCTATCCTCTGCGGATCGGCGGGGCTGCACCGTTGATGCTGTGGTGGTGGGGCCGCGGGGGGAGAGGAGTGTCGGTATTGCGGTGGCCCGTTCTCCTTACCCTTCGCGGCCGAAACGTGGTGAGCGGCGGAGCCACAGACCAAATCCACCGCTGGGGGCTGGGAGGCTTGCCGCTTATTGGCACTGGCTCTCCTTGCTCCCATGTCCCCTCGTCAGCGAACGGGGGGAAGTTGGCTGGGAAAAAGGGGCCGAGTAGGAAGGTGCGCTGAATGTTACAGCACGCCTTACCTGGAGGAGAGGGGAGTTGATCCCCGGAAGGGAGCTGCTGAGGCGGCCGGCCAGGCCGGCAGGATGGCGGAAGTGTGATATGCGCATAGATGTAACATCGTGGAGGTTTTAGTCGGTGCGAGTCCGACATAACCTGCTCTTGCCCCCGCGAGGGCGGGTATGTGTAGGCAATTCCCCCACTTCACAAAACAAAAAGCTACAAAATATGTTTCATTACGTGCCGTCGAAGGTCAAAAGAGAAAGTTTTTTTAGATAGGTGACACTTACGAACCTTGATGTGCCTGTCGATAAGCCAGTTCAGTTCGATGTCATCGTCGTCCTCGCCAAAGGGATTTATAAGTACTTCGGCTACCTTCAACCAGCCGACGTAAAAACAGAACTGCAATAAGACGTTGAAAATGTTTAAAAGAAATTGAACAGACCATTTGAAAAAAGTTTTGCATGAATAATGTACTGTTTAATTAACAAAAGTTTTTATATTTACGTTAACGAAAAGATTATTCCACTAATAGAACTTGCAAGGTGATGTTATTCAAATTATTATTATTAAACTTTGAGTTTAAAATTAAAACGACACACTAAGGTCAAATAATCATTGTGAGTTGTATTTTTTACAAGTCTGCAGGAAGTGCTTGTATATAATTATTATTAGACTATTAAAGGCAAAACGTTTTAATTTATCATATCGCTTGTATTTTTATTAATTACATATTTTTACCACCTCAACCCAATTAATTTATATTTGGTTTATAATAATAATGCGCTGCAACTTAATTGGGGTAACCCCTATAAATATATAAAGAACAATGCCCATTTTGGACCCGATTGTGTATAGAAATGAAATAAATATTAAAATTTAGCTAATTTAATTTTATACTAATTACACGTATCACAATGTTAAAAGAAGCTCGGGAAAAAAATATTTTGTGATATTTCTTTACGCTTATTTTACTTCAAGGGTTTTGAATGCACCTTAACAATCCTTTACATATGAAGTTCCATTTTCCACACTTGACTGTATTCAACTTTTTCTGAGTTTTGTACATGATTTTATGTTTTATAGAAGTGAGTAAGCACGTAATTATTAGTATTTGTATAAAAATTAAGATCAACCTTAATAGTCTTTGTATAATACAGATTTATTAAAAATAAAATAATAATTTAATATTTTTTTTTATGTACAATCTTTATTGATCTAATATTTACAAGATTAAATCTATCTAAAATTACATATTATCTAATAAACCTAAAATAGAATCGAGTTATTGGCTTCACGCTTTACCATCAAGTAACTTGGGCACATTACTTGACGATGAAAGCTTACGCATTGCTGTAGGAATCCGTCTGGGGGCACCGATTTGTCAACAACACCAATGCCCTTGTGATGTCAGTGTAGACAAATTTGGTCTACACGGGCTTTCTTGTCAAAAAAGTGCTGGCTGTTTTTCCCGCCACGGTTCCCTGAATGACATCATCCGTAGGGCTCTTGTTTCCATCAATGTTCCATCTATTTTAGAGCCCTGTGGCATTTTTCGCGACGATGGTAAGAGACCCGACGGTTTAACATTGATCCCTTGGGAGAGAAGCAAAGCCCTTGTTTGGGACGCCACTTGTGTAGACACTTTGGCTGCCTCTCATCTAAGAGGTACTTCGGTCAGGGCCGGGGCGGCATCGGAGGCAGCTGAAGTAAGTAAATGGCGCAAATATGAGTCTTTATGTTTAGATTATGTATTTGTGCCATTTGCTGTTGAAACTTTAGGTCCGCGGGGTCCCCGCACATCAATTTTTTTTTAAAGTTTATGTCCTAGGCTTAACGCCGCGGCTGGTAACAAGAGAGCTGGTTCCTTTTTGGCTCAAAGGTTAAGCATAACTATTCAGCGTGGAAATGCAGCTAGTGTTCTTGGCACCATGCCGCGTGGATTAGGTTTATTAGATAATATGTAATTTTATCTAATAAATTAATAATGCAGCATGTAATAAAGTTTGCACGACTGACGTAAACAGATTTTTATGATATTTGACACTTTGACAGTTGACAGTTCTGCGAGTGACTTATTGTGTAATGTGTAACTGTTGGCGTATTCATTGAAAACCGCCAAAAAAGAAAAGAAGAAGAAGAATGTGTAACTGTGTATTTCTTCTTTTTTCGACCCTATTTACCGCCCCTGGACCTCGATATCTTCCTCATCTGAAAACCTTTGCTTACAATACCATTGTAAATCCGTCCTCTTTACAATGCCGCCTTCAGGCAAAAGTCGACTGCATAAATGGCAACGTTTGCTTATATACGTTACTAAGTTATCTAGTTCGTTACTTAGCGAAAGGATATCACCAGTAATTGTGAGTATTTATGTTTATTATTTCTAATGTAAAAATATGATTGACATTTTTACAAATCCTAATCAAACTAACAAAGCTCCTATAAAGTGTACCTGTGACATAACTAACATAAACAACTGTTTAAAAGATCTATATATCCGAAATATTTATTATAAACTCAATGATATATGTTTTCTATTTCAGATTACTGAGAAAGATTATATTTGTAAATCTTGTAATGAACTCCTTTTGAGAAGAATAAACCAGGAATTAACAAGCTGTGATGTTGCTCAAGCTTCAGGATTATCTCTACCAGGACGAAGACAAGTGTGCAGTCTTTGTGGCCGGTCAACACTTAATTGTCATAGCCATTCCATAGTTTTGGATAATCCTTCAGAAGAGCAAAGACAGATAAATGCTATTATACAAACAAGTATAGCACCACATCACATATTTATGTTTCTACATTCTTAATCATTTGCCAGTATAAAACTTTATACTGTTACTCTAAATTATTTCTCTTTTGTATTTTAGATGTAAATTATTTATCTTTTAATAATTGACTGTTCCTGTAATAATTTTAACCAAAAATAAATAATAGATTTTTTTTTAAATATATTTTTAACATGAAGTTTATAATTATTGCTTTTTTACTATGAAAGTCACATGGAAATGTATTAATATGTTTACAATACATGATATACATTCAATGTTTTCTTTTGTAGATATATCATCATCTTCTGATAGAATATGCCATTCATGCTGGATGAGTTGTAAGTGTGCTGCCACACATATTAGGCATGTTGATGAAGTTCATGGTGTTTCTAATGCTGAAGATAATTTATTTCTGTTTCCTAGATTAAGTTATAGTGAACTTATACTATTTGCTCTAGGTACTTTCCAAATCAGGCAAGTCAAATCTTATTATGGGGAACATATACACTTTCAAGGATCATATAGAATAGAAATATGTAGGGACACAAGATTTTTCTAGGTATAATCTGAGAGGAAGTGGTGACATAACATTAATAAGAGGAAAAATTAAGTCCATGCACATTTAAAGAAACAATATTATGTCTATATTTTAATAGAAAATAATGTGTCTGGCAGAGCTGTTATAGTTGAATACTGTTGTAATTGTTTAGTTGGTTGACAAACCATAGGATGTTGCACTCATGACTTTAGTGTGGTACTTTGGATGAGCTATCAAGAAAATATCTCTGTTATAGCAGAATTTCTGGATAACATAGTTATAACATTTGAGGCAAGATTATGCTAATTAGTAAACTATTCCACTGTAACATAGTGTTTTATTTTTTCCCCCGTTTTATTCATCAGGTATTATAATTATCGATTATTGTGTATTGTAGTGCAGGCCAATGAAATGTGTAGGGTAGATTAATGAACACTTTTAACAATACAAGAGTAAGTTCTATCTAAATATCGATTTTTTTTTACTAAACATGTAGTTAGTAAGTACTTATGTGAGCTGTTGAAACAGCAGACAATGCTCGACACACAATTTATAGTGACAATAATCGAGAGTAAGCAGCGACTTAAGGGCCGTTGGTATCTAGGAATTCACAAGTAAAAAAGACGTTTAGACCTTAGATAGGTAAGTATTACAATTTTAGAATAATCTTGAGCGTAAATAATTAATTCTAGCACATTGATTTCATTATAAACTAACTGTAACTGCAAATCCTAACCTAAAAAGTAACATTTTGTAATAATTTTTGGACTTCGTAGACCAGAAATCGTAAAAATGACTAAATGACATTAATTTACTAACTTGAAGGTAGTCTTTCTACTATACCTTGTAACTATACATAAACTTTCATTATCAGGTTTGTAAATGTATGGGGGAAGTGGGCATTGTTCTTTATCCTTTAAAATTAAATTAAATTTCATGCTTATAAACGGGAATAACTAAGAAGAATAGTCTATGTTGATGATGAGCACCGGTCTTTAATAAGAATTATTAAATTTTAAATTCGATTTTAAAGTTACAGAATATTTTTTCTCTTTGCAATTATTATAGATATATTTTCGGTTTTCTTCTAGACTGCACTTACTTATTTGATATTACGGGACGTCCATAAGGGCTTAAAATAAAAGCTAAATTTAATATAACTATTTATCAACTTCAGGTTCATGTATTGCCGCCGTTTAGTTCTTACCTGTAAAGCAGTGAACAGAGGAAAGTATACGTCGGGTTCATATTTGGAGGTGCTCCCTGGAGCCGGTGGCACTAGCTGACGGCCCATCAAAGCAGCGACGAAATACGTGTAGAGGGCTAGCGTTACAACCTGTAATAACAGTTTGTAAAAATATAGACTTAAAAAGTTAATTAAATAAGGCCATTATTTTAACTTAAGAAACTAGATTCATTTTCACATTTAACAGTACAACAACTAAAATTGTTTTTGTATTACTATCACACTGAGTAAATATTGCACTCTCTGCGCTTTCTAAGATCATATATATAGATATCAGTAGCCTGAGTTTAATTCTCGACTCGTGCGTGTCATAATATATCAAGGATAGCTTATATAATTGATATTAAAAACTGGCTTTTCGCCGCGCCGCTGCCTGAATGTACTACAATTTATATCATGCTTAAAAAGTAGCATATAGCCTTCCTACATAAATGGGCTATCTAACAGTGTAAGAATTTTTCAAATCGGAACAATAGTCCCTAAGATTAGCGAGTTCTAACAAACAAACTTCAGTTTCATAATATCAGTATGAATATCCTTATTTTTTCCGTCCCATCACAAAAATTATTGCTCGTCCATTTCAGATCAATATCGGCAATATCCTGTTTAGCAGATCCAGGGGCGAATCAAACCTAAGGAAGGTGTGTTCAAGGTCATTCTAACAGTAAAAAAAAACTGTATACATTATATTTCAGCAAGGTTACAGCATTTAATTCTACCCGGTACTGGTGGGTCGAGAAACACTCGCCACTCATTGGCGGAAATATCGTCGGGGGCGCATTTCGACCCGCCGACACACCTGATAATTTTTTATGATTTTACGTGCCGCAGCCAAGCTGTTTTTACATATGACAGATGATATAATTCTGAGGTCAACGCACATTAGAAGTGTCAAAACTGTTCATTTTAGGGTTCCGTACCCAAACTGTAAAACGTCCTAAGTAACCGTATAAGGTCCTTATTACTAGGACTCCGCTGGTTGTCTGTTACCTGGCTTGTATTTCATGAATCGTGACAGTTAGAAAGTTCAAATTTTCACACATAATTTATTTATGTGGCCGCTATAACAACAAATACAAAAAACAGACTAAAAATATTTTAAGTGATAATATTCCCATACAACAGACATAATTTTTTTGCTGTTTTTACAGATAACAGTAAGGAACCCTTCGTGCGCGAATCCGACTCGCACGTGGCCGGTTTTTTAAATTTAAACTCACAATCATCATTTTTTTACAGACCCTATGTAGTTAACTATAAAAATCTTAGGTTAAGTCCGAAAGAATTGGGAGCCCATAGATTTTAAAAGCAAACATTTTGAATGCTCGTTTCTTTATATAGTGATTTTATTTATTTTATAGTCAGTTTTTTTAAGAAAACGAAACCAAAAATGTATCTTTATGTAGATTTACAATTGTACTATCACCAGTCACGTCGCAAATAAACTGGAGTTAGAAACTTGCACAAAATAGCGAAAGTAAAGCGTTCGTGAGTACTACGAAACGTCATTTGAAACGGATTTAACTTTGCTTTCAGAATTCAGCTAATAATAAATCTATGAGAAGTCAAGTGATTTCGCAAAATTCTTTTATAAATGTTGTGAAATTTTTGCTTCTAACAATAATTGATAAAGACCCTAAACGAATATCAAAAAATTATTTTGCTCTAGTAATTATCTTATATTTATTGATATAATATTTACAAGATTAAATTTACCTAAAATTACATATTATCTAATAAACCTAATCCACGCGGCATGGTGCCAAGAACCCTAACTGCATTTCCTCGCTGAATAGTTATGCTTTACCTTTGAGCGAGAAAAGAACCAGCTCTCTTGTCACCAGCCGCGGCGTTAAGCCTAGGGCATAAACTTTAAAAAAAAATGATGGGGAAAAAAATGGGACCCCACGGACCTAAAGTTTCAACAGTAAATGGCAGAAATACGTAATCTAAACATAAAGACTCTTATTTGCGCCATTTACTTACATCAGTTGCCTCCGATGCGGCCCTGACCGAAGTACCCCTTAGATGAGAGACAGCCAAAGCGTCTACACAAGTGGCGGCCCAAACAAGGGCTTTGCCTCTCTCCCAAGGGATCAAAGTTAAACCGTCGGGTCTCTTACCATCGTCGCGAAAAATGCCACAGGGCTCTAAAATAGATGTAACATTGATGGAAACAAGAGCCCTACGGATGATGTCATTCAGGGAAGCGTGGCGGGAAAAGCGGCCAGCACTTTTTTGACAAAAAAGCCCGTGGCTACCAAATTTGTCCACACTGACACCACAAGGGCATTGGTGTTGTTGACAAATCGGTGCCCCCAGACGGATTCCTACAGCAATGCGTAAGCTTTCATCGTCAAGTAATGTGCCCAAGTTACTTGATGGTAAAGCGTGAAGCCAATAACTCGATTCTTTAGATGAGACGCCTAGGAAACGGGCACTCTCTAAATTACTTTTTAAACATTGAAACGTATCTTTCTGTACTCTCCGCACCAAAGGAACATCCCATCTGTTTTTATAGGTTTACTTCCAGTGGGATATTTTGGTTGGAGCAGATAGACAGCCAAGACATCCTTGCCTCCTCGGCATAGGAAAGTTCTGAATAGTGATTAAGGATATTATTAAAATTTATTTAAATTTAATGCTCTGTACCAAATAATGCAATTTTTGTCAAAAACTTGAGAAAGAGGCAAAGCTCTTTTTGAGACGTTTAGGCACTTGGCCTTGCCAAATGAGGGGTTTTTCAAGAAAGTTCAGGGCGCAAAATCTTAAATCTTAATGAAGCCTGTGGTCTTGTATTTGCAATACAAAATTTAAGTTCGAGGGGTCCCAACAAAGTGAAAGGTTAAGTAAGTATGACTACGGGTATTTTTCAGCCAGGAAATTCAGCTACCTAGTTCTTGACATTTGTTATAACATCATCTGTAATTATTGTATGTATTACTTTTTTTATTTATCTTATTAACGGAAAGTTGAAACTTTTAAATGAATTTTGTACAATAATTTTTCTTCAACTAGTATTTACCGACCTCACCTTATAATGAGTGGAAGTGGCATACTTTTTCGTCTGGTGAGTGAGGTATCCGGGGCCCACTTTATTAAAAAGTGGCAACGCACCAGAAACTCTACGGGAGTTGCAAATGTCCATGGGCGGCGGTTATCACTTAATATCAGGTGATCCGCCAGCTCGCATGCCACCTTCTAACAAAAAAAGTGCGCAACAAAGAAAAAGCATAATTAGGACGTTCTCAGAGGTCAAATTGCATTTTGAAAGTCAAATGTTCACAGTGGATTCCATTTGCGCATTTTGTAATTGACTTGTTAGGATTACAGGACATATTAAGGTTTTGTAGTCCCAAAATAACAACTACAAGGTAGTACTTTAAAAAAAAATCATTCGGAAACCAATTCATACAGGGTGGCTTTTCTAGACATTAATAATGTAATATAAAAAATGATAAATATTTATAATCACTCGTAGGTAAATGATTACATTCATTTGAACTTATGTCAAAAAGTGCGTGATTTATACGCAACTCATTTATTTTACGCGCGATCAGTCATAACTAACACGCACACAAGTTCGTGCACAGTGAAATTTAGGTATTTATAAATGAGTACCGCATTGTCAACACGTTCTGTTTTTTAGGGAAAGAATGGCATTTTTTTTGAGAAAAGGAATTTTGTTTTTTATTTCAATAAACGATTATACTACCGAGTCTGAACCTCCTGTGTAAATTTGGGCACTTCTCAAAATACCTGGTATAGTACCTGGAGGACTGATCTTTGCTCGGGTATTTTTTTTTGGTAAATAGTGTATTTTGGAAATTAAAAAAAATAAAAAATAAAGAATGCAATGATGTGGTACAGAAAAAAAAGTAAAAAAAATAATTATGTAAATGATCGTGACAAAGCCGCAGATTTCTGTTTCAGTGCCGCCCGATTACCAACCGAGCTATTATAACATTAACATATTTTTTAGGAGAAATTTACCGTCATATTAGAATGATATTTTACATTCCCCGAAAACAGGGATAAAAGGACATTTTCTAAAAATAAAACCTAGCTAGATCGATTTTTGCCCCCGAATCTACGCACATACTAAATTTCATGAAAATCGCTGCAGCCGTTACAAGAACGCAATGTGTTAAAAAAAGAAAAAGATAAGAAAAAAAATACAGATGGACATTTAAAAGTTTCCACATTTAGATAAGTGTAAAAATTTTTTTTTACAAATTAACTAATAAGAGTTAACTTTTAGACCAGACCCGATGTCATAATATCATGCATGTCTTTTGTTATTCCTGATTACACTTGATACCCGACTCAGCAGGACGTTCTAAATAACACGACAACGAATGATCTGATTTCAATGCGGTTTTCCTTAATGGACATTTTCAATGAAGGCTGTCATCTGATCTGGTCGCGATTCTTAAGGAAATGATTATATTGCGCAATGTCATTCCCAGTGTTTACAATCTCTGCATATATTTCTGTTCCAGACCCGAGTCAAAAATATGAAACTTATTTATTTTTTCCTAAGTAAACCTTTCTTATTGTCTTTAAGAGATTGAGCCAATCTTAATTTAGCGGAATGAGTGAAACGGACCTTTCATTGACTTATATAAGAAACCGGAAAATTTGGCAACTTAAATATGAGATATTTGAATGGTAGGCGTTATGGAAAAATCTAAAATCAGACAACCAGTGTCATTGGTATCTGGTTAATTAAGCCATCGTTTTTTAATTTTGAATTTTGTAAATTGAAAATAAGAAGTCATAGTTATAGTTATAGTCCTAAAATAAAGGATACATGCTTACAAATTTTATAGCTGTGCAAGTCAATTATAAGCCAACATTACAGGTAATTCAGTTATTTAATTTACCTTTTCCAAGGGTTTAGTCACCATATACTTTACAACTACTCAAGCCACCATAGAGATCGCGGTCATATATGCTAAACCAACATTGATACAGCATACTACATACGTAATACATATCTTCAAACACAAATAAACCGGTCCGATTATGATGAACTTGACAGCCACTCAATAGAACAGACAATAAAATATAAGAATATAGTTGTATACGTCAAAACAACGTGGAAAATTAATGTTTACCGCCCGTGAACGTTCGCGGTGGATTGGCTACGGTTTTGAGAATCTTAATAAACGAGAAAAATGTTATTATTCACGTACCATTGGACTTACAATTAAGACCAGGATATTAATAGACCCGCATGAGAAAAACTCCGCTTTTCTTGTACAAATAAGTTGTAATACTATGATTTATTCAGTACATATGTGCATTATATGAAAAGCTAAATAGTTGATCTCCAGTCTTAGTTTTTCATGAATATTCTAATTTATTTTCTTTGGACCGCCCCACAGTTGACTGACTAATACAGCCGGTGGCCAGTCCGCTTTTGTACATATATGATTGTCCATAAAGAATAATTAATAGATATTTTTTTACGTTTCTAAATGCTGTTTTATTCATTTATTAAGTACATTTAAAATGAGAGATAAGCAACAGCGAACATCGTTAGCCTGTGTCGGTTGTCAGTATTATTAGACATCATTAAATCTGCTAGGACTAGACATTTAATAAGCACTGTCTTAACATTCAATTGATATCCTTGACTTATTCTACTAAGCGTTTACTTTGCAAAAATCGTGCGAACTTGGTTTTCAACTTTAATTAACATGCCGTCAAAAATATGTGCATGTGTGTGACAGCACTAAATTTTATGTACATTATTTAAGCAGCTTAGACAGTCGGAATGCTATAGTATTAAATTTTATAAAGTATCCCGTGTCTGTGATAAAAGCGATTCGGAAATGCAGTTTTTGAATCTACATTAGTGAAATGACATTGGAACGATAGTTAAAATTTTGTCTGAAAAATAATCAATTAACATTGCACAATCTACTAAATTTAAAACGAGGTTAAAATTTCCTTGTGGATAACAGTTTGCATTACTAACAAAAAATATATAAAATTACATCTACAAAAATATTTATAGTGAACGTTCATTGAAATTCCGATATTAGTTTGAGGTCTGATAAGTTTTTCTGAAAAGCGTTTTTTGTGAAGGGAAAAAGTTCGAACATAATTATTTCATTTAAAAATAATGACCTAATTTTCTATTATTTTTTTTTTTTATGTGAAAAGTTGCCAAACGAGCAGACGGTCCACCTGATGGTAAGTGAATACCGCCACCCATGGACATCTGCTACACCCGAGGGTTACAGATGCGTTGACAACCTTTTGAAAATTGGGCTCCGACTACCTCACTCACCAGACGAAACGCGAAAGTATTTGCCATACTTCCACTTTACGCTGGTCTTCTGTGAGGTCGTGGTACTTACCCGGACGGGCCTGCCCATTCGTGCAACAGCCGAGGCTGTTGCGAGGCCCTACCACCGACGATATTATCGATAAGTTTGTGCAGTTTAATGTCTATACTATATATGCTTCTGTAATCTTTACAGTATAATACACAATACTAACCTACTTTCATTTCGCTTCTGTTAGTCAACTCCAAGTGACAAATGCAGAATGAGTTAAATTGTTTCTACTAGCCTGAGTATAGACGAGAGGGACGCACACTGTGTCGTACCCAATAAGCGCTCCCAGACGTCTTCGTATATCCGATAGCTCTACCAACAAAGTCTGGACAATGTGGTCGCTCGTGATCAGGCCTTCTTTGCGCGCCCTGTTAATTATATTCGTCGCCCACACCAGTGGCATCCAATACTTCGACATCGGACTCTTCCCGTCCATCTTCTCGAAGACCTTCCTCTCGCTTTCAAGCATAAGACCTGAAAGTAAGACAGACATTGATTTTTGCTTTCCGCTTATCCACCTTGGATCGTCATAAGCACTGCGCACTTACCGGAGTCCACGACGTGTTGCCACGTTGGGAACCTTCTCTTTACGCGAAGCGAGACCCTTTGCAACGTGATGACGTATGCCAAGATGGCGTATCGGACAATATTTCTTCTCATCAGCCGTCCGGTCTCGTCCTGCGAACGATTATCATTAACATAAAGCAACAATTATACCCAAAAACAACGCAGCGCGGATTGCCGTTTTTCATTAAGGTTGGCTGTACAATTTAAATTAATAGGTAAAAATGTGAACTTTGTAGCAAAAACAATCGTAGTTCTTTTTTTTCGCAGCAGCGCATTGTAAATAACAAGGAAACGCCAGCGAATAATAAAACAAGATAACATCGTTATTAAAGATAAAGAACTGAAACAATGCCACATGTTGTGTGTTTTAGTAGCAAATCTTCTAGTTTCAAATGCATGTGCTGTGCTATATGGGTAGGTATAAGTGAACTCATTTGAAATGAAAATTTAAGACACCATAAAAATGGACGATTTTTATTACAGATTCATTTTTATAATTAATCTTTCCTTCTTTGATTATATAATTGTCAAGTATTAAAAGTAAAATCTTTGTAGAGAGTACCTTTTACAAGTAATTAATCAAAGGTGAGTCCATATTAAAAAGACTGATAGTAAATAGACCACGATCAGTGACCACGCCTTTATTCGTGTAGTGAAGCATACTGTCAAGCAATATGGTCAAGTGCCCATTTTTTAGGTGTACTCGTACTATTTTATTTTAAGGTGCTACACGTTGTAAATGAAAGTTGTAAAAAAAGCTCGGTAAAATTATTCAACCTAAGTAACATAACTTTAAAATATTTAGCATTGAGAACGTTTAAAATAGATATTTGACTATTATTCGGTATGCGACCGAATAACGAATATTTAGGTACCATTCGACTTATACGGAATATTTAAACAAGGTGGTTTGTTATACACAGTCAATTTATTTTATAAATATGTACAATTCTTCTGTAGGTATTAAAAATTATTATCGTAAAATAAAAAAATAAAAAAAATATTATCCTCTCGAATTATCATAATTTTAATTTACAAGTGAAATGTGAGCAGAAAGAACATTTTTTCTAAATTTTAGGCACAATGTAAACTAGTGCCACCAATTTTCAATTAGTGGCTCTAGTTTATTTTACCTTATTGAATTTGTTAATTAATTAATTAAAAAATAAACAAATTAATGAAAAAAAAAAACATTTTTCGTGTTCGTAAAACAATAATTTTCGTTTTAGGGTGAAAAATTAAATATTTTAATACAACAAATTAAAAACAATATACAATATGAGACTTGTTAAAATTTTTAAATAATGAAAAGTTGGTTTATTATCTGATAGTTTGTTCTCCAACTGTTGCGTTCTACTTTCAACAAATACAATGATATTTCATTGTAATTATTTATAAAAATAAAAAATCAACAAAAATTTAATGGTAAATACAAAAAATACCTGCAAAAAAGAAAATCACCAAAAAATATAACAAAGTATAAAAAAAATGTAGGGATTTGAACCCAATTCCTTTAGATTTAGAATGATGGTCCTTTATACTGAATGTATAGGACTGATAAACTTATCAATCACAAGATAAGATATTGAAATTACGCTTTAGTTGTTAATACATACAAATAATTAAAAATACAAAATATGTGAATACATATTTCTTAGTTTCGTGTTTTCGAAAGATCTAATAAAATTATAAGGCTCAAGGAACCGAAACAATGCCGCGATGGCGCGGTGTTTTCGCAGTCGCGTTCGAATTAATTTTAATGAATTAAATTAATATTTACAAATATCTTACTTCAATCAACAGACAACAATCCTTGTTATTAAAATATTCTATACCACTGATATTAATTTCATTAAGATTTGTTAATGTATTACGTTCATTTTTGGATTTGAATTTTTCTTTTAGAGGTAGTTTAATGATTTTTTTCTATCGAGAATATGTTTTGAAAGCAATGTTCCATTAGAATGTAAGATCAAGATTAACATACTTTTTTGCTGCTATAAAATGTGTAGATTTTGTTGAAAAATCTTTTGAAAAACCTATTTTTACTGCATACAGCGCCTAAAATTAAGCCTATATTGAATAAAGATATTTTGACTTCGAAACTGAAAGTTCACGTTGATACAAGTTTGTCCAACACACGCTGGCCGAATATTCGACTATTTGATTAGGAAAGCCGACGGTTACTCGATATTAGGCAAGTGGCCGAATATACTATTCGTTGCAAGTCTAGTATAAAACGAATGCAAACTGAGCGAGACGCCACCCATTGATCGGACACAAATGCGATGTAACGCTCCGTGACGACAACAGAGGTACGAGTTTCACAATTTTTTTGTTTTAAAAGTTTTAAGAATTATTTTGTGCTAAATTCGGATTTGTCAGGAAAAAACAGTTAAATACGTGTACAAGCCATGGCATTGACAAGCTAATTCGGCCTTACGTTTCGTGTCGGTTTGGCAAAAATTAAGTAAAAATTTATATCCATATCAATACAAACATTTTTCTCACACTTATTCCGAATACTACCTAATAATACAATCATGCGAGTATAACCTTGTTTTCTGAGAACATATATTTCACAACTGTTTCAATAGCACACGATGCTTATAGAGATAAAATGAGATCGATGTATGTACATTGAAATAAATTATGCATTAAGTACTTTGTCTTCTGTTTCTTTTTCGATAATTCTCACGTAAGTACTGTACAAAATTTTTATGACAATTTTATGTTCCTAATCAATATAGGATAAAAAAATATGCCATTTCCCGAATCTTGTTTCTAAGTTTCTAAGTGGGGGGAAGATCGAAAGGTTTTTTGATGAGAGCAGTGTTTTGTTTGACGCCGTGTAGAACAGTACCAGCATAAGTTAATGTCTTAAGCTAAAATTATATCTATCTATACAGATAAATAAAATTGAAGTGTCTGTTTGTAATATTAAAATAACCGCTTTTTACTAAATGCATATGTAGATGTATACACGGTACATTTTTTTACAATTTTTGTCTGTCTGTCTGTCTGTTTGTTCCGGCTAATCTCTGAAACGGCTGGACCGATTTGGACGGGACTTTCACTGACAGATTGCTGACGTAATTAGGAGTAACTTAGGCTACATTTATTTTAGATTTCTTATTTTAAATTCCACACGAACGAAGTCGCGGGCACAGCTAGTAGTGAATAAAGTTCAAAGAGCATATTTTTTGTCATATCGATAAATCCCCGTTATATCTATTCCAATGCAAAAAAAAATAATAACAATGTTTTCATCGAAAAAAAAAACGGGAAAAATCGAAATAGTTCTTCTAAGGCAGTTGGCGGTGCAAGAAGTAGTTTCTAAGATCGTTCACATTAATGTCAGGCGATATTGACGGTCAGTTCAGACAGGCTACAATTTTAATTGTCCTGACACTTCAGAACTGTCTATAATATCAAAATACCTTCAAATAACACAGAAAACTCAAATTATTTGTTTTTTATATTTCAATCTCGCCCCGCCGGGGAAAGATTGGACACTAGAGGCTCTCAAATTTTTCATTTTACTTGGATATGATTATACAGAAAATGAAAGATATCAATCATGTAAAATCATTTATTGTTAATGTCAAGATAATTTTAAAAACAATTACGTACATGTACAAAAATAAAAATATAAAATGGAAACTTTTATGTTTATCTTACCCCGTCAAATATTGGCGGGTAAAGAAGGAACGTTACAATAAATCCTAATATACAAAAAGTAGCGATATTGAGACAGTAACATAACTACCAATTAAAAATAATAAGTATGTATACAAATAAAAAACTCTTGCCTACCTCGTAAATGAAGTTACATGACACGGGGTAAGATTAAAACACCCGATTTGCTCGCGTAAAATTCATAGCGTAGATATTCCCTTATAACACACCCGATTCCTCAAAAAGATAAGTGCCGACTGAGGTATGGGATGTAACAAAATGGCGGTCTTATGAATGTTGCCTGCATTGGATAAATTACACAAAATCTGCCTTTATTCGTTTGTCGTTTTTCATATTCCCCCAGTCACCCTATATAAAACAGAATGCATAATTAAAAATATTTGATTTATTTAAGTGGCTCCCTTATATCATTCCACTATATTTTTTACACCATTCTTTTTTAAAAGCCGGAGTTCAAATACAACTTTGAATTGGGGCATTATTTCGTAAATGCCAATAATATTCGGGGAGCCCCGAGACTATGTTTGCTTATTAAATTTAGCACACGTGAAAATTCTTATTTCAATCCTTGGCATTTCGAAGGACTAGCAAATTTGATTCCCAAGTTTTATAAAATAGCAGAGACTGAATATGACCACAATTTCTATAAATAAGTAATTATGTATTCGTAGAATCTTATTGGTCTAAATGTTTTATATTTAGACGTCATGTGAAATTTATTTTTGTAAAACGTCCTTACAGCACAGAATAATGTTATCCTATAGGAACGGCAATGTTTTAAAAAAAAAAAGAAAATATTTCCTGTCGTTAAGGTGACGTCTTAAAGTATAAAATTGTTATATATATCTACTTTTTAAATATTAAAAAAATAATTTTAACTTACGATGCCTACTGCATGTTAAAAGTAAAAATTGCAAAGTTTACTGCGATTTCTCGGTGGCAAATCTATATATATATAAAAATGAATCCCTATTTTAACGGCTGCACCGATTTCGGTAATTATTTTTTTATAATATCCCTTGAAGGGGGGAGATGGTTCTTAGGGAGAGAAAAAATTAAAAAATGCCTGAAAAAGTCTATAAACAACACTTTTCAATATTCCCGTAATAATACTTAAAAGTCAATTTGAACTTTAATACCATATCATGAAGTTTAAGTGTTAGAGGAAAGTTTAAGTGTCAGGGGTTCCGGGAAGGCAAAACAAGTGAGTGACTGTGGTAAAATGTCACTTGAAATGTAAACGTCTCTTTGCTGTTCATCACTACACAGTATAAAACAAAGTCGTCCCACTATCTGTCTGTCTCTATGTACGCTTAGATCTTTAAAACTAGGCAACGGATCTTGATGCGGTTTTTTTTACTAAATCGAGTGATTCACGAGGAAGGTATATATGGATATATAGACCTTTGCAT